TCCTCCTTAATAGTCCAAACAATGTCCCAAAGTCAAAAAATGTGTCGTCGCCATTTCCTTCCAGAATCGTTCATTGACTGGACTATAAAGCAATATACATTTTTCGAAAAATACAAATCTAAAATTTTATCTAATCAGGATACTTTTCCTTACCAAGTTGTAAGCAGGAAATTGCATAAATAAAACGAGTTCTATAGTAGTTATATTACATTATGCTACATATTTGCTGATACAGGTTGAGTTTCGATATTTTTTCTGTTTAGAGAATATAATTAATTCCCTTTCAGCCACAAATAAAAAGTGAAAATACTAAGTTCTAACAACAAAATATAATATGGTATCAAAGGAATATGATAAAAGTGGATACGAAATAATTATATGAATATATAAAACTCTCTTAAGGAAAATTTAAATAACATGTTCAAACCTATGCAGGCAGTAGTAAAATTTCAAGGAAATACTTTTTTTCATCAAAAGCGGATGAAGAAGAAACGAGGTCGTGAAATGGTTCGGTGGCTCTAAATTAAAAATTGAAAGCCTAGTGGTGAATTCAATCCCAAAAATACTTTTTGTTCGAGATTTAATAGAAAGTAATCTAAAATGGATATACAACACTCGAAACTGACTAACAGGAGAATAAAAAACAGGCCCAGATACCGTTTATTACAACAATTTATCAAAATATTAATGGTGATTTGAAAATGGAGTAGGGCGGCCGAGCCGGTTAACTAAAATAATTACGAGTTCACGTCCTGATGCCAGCGAGTCTATCATATTGTTACCCAAATGCGAGACCAAGACGGGTCTTGGTCTTGCAAATTCCGTCTTGGTCATGGTCTTGGTCTTGCGCAAGATTCTCACAACAGTCTTGCATTTACTTATTAGCTTATTACTAAAGAGATATTACTGTAATATTTTATATAGGAGAAACTTAACTAAGTCTGGATGAAAAATAAGAGGAGTTAAATGCAAAAGTATATTGGTCATACCGATTATTTACATATAGTAACTAAGATTATCAAGTATTAGTAACTATTTTGCCTTAATTTTTATTTCAAAAATCGATTTTTTTACCAGTCCTTGTTTTAGTCTTGCAACGTGCAAGATCATGACCGATTTTGGGGAACACTAGTCTATTAATTCTTGCATTAATTACCCGACTGGCCTCTGTCCCAGGAAAAATCCTCGTATAGCCATATGACGAATAATCCTCGTATATAAGATGAAAAGGGAAACAAACAAAAAATGGCAATTTTTGTAAACTATCGACAAATATTTTTGATTAAGAACATAAGCTTGGATTATAATTGGCTTCATTTGGGTTTTACATGATTTCATCTATATTCGTTATAGAGTTTTTCATTAAGATGAATATCATTTCTCATTTCACTATTTTAATTCTTCTGTCTAAACTTACAAGTGTTTATAATTAGTATTCTTAAATTACATCTTTGATCTAACGATCTAAATTTAGAAATTCTAAAGAAATCATGATACGAAGTTGAAGAATGAAAAACAATTAAATAACCGTTAAAATTTTTACAAGTCATATTGTTACATCATATTCCTAGAAATATCACTGATCATGTTTTATTAGCCTTTTAAGTTTATTTTAATAAGTAATAATTCATTTTGCTATTACTCGTTCATTCTTAGTAGTGCATAATGCAAACTTTATTCGAAATTTGAAAGAAAGAAAAAAATCATCTAAATCGAATGAGTGTAAGTAAAGATACGTTGTATTGAACTTTGTACAGTTAACTTTCTTCATGTAGTTGTTAAATATTTTTATAACTGTATGGGAAACAATACTAAATACTGCTTGCTATGAATATCAGGGAATGAAACAGTATTTTTTTTTTCAAATTAGTTCAATTTTAACTGTTTAAATAAACTTTTATCAACAAGAGGTTCAAAGAAAAGATTTTTCAAAACTGGTAAATAAAAGTGATAGTTTAAAAAAGTTATAAAAATTATTTGTTAAACTTTTACTTATTCCCTCTAAAATAAAAGTTATAATTACAAAAATATATAAATTATAATAAAAGTTCATATCGTTATACTACTCGATACTCAGAGTGGAAAACTAATTCCGCTGATCCTGGAAAAAATGTCAATATTAACTTTGTAGAAATAAGTTTGAATGTGTTTTTATTTTATTATTTTTTATTTATTTATTTATTTATTTATTTTTTTTAGTTTTTATTTAATGTTATATCAGTTTGATTTATTCTGTTACTCCAAGTTTTATTTTATTTTATTTCCTTATAATCTTGTTGTTCTTTTATTGTATATTTGGTATGATTGTACTTCATTCATCATAAATACTCAATGCCTTTAATTGAGGCAAAATGTATTTTTTCTTTCTCTCAATAAAAAAAAAAAAAAAAAAAAAAAAACTTTGTAGAAAATTATACAATGAAATCTTTTATTTGTTAATCGGGACTGTTTTATTCGGAAACAGCTATGATATTTTTTAATAAACGTAATCTAGTCTTGTTCCATACCTTGTAAATGTTTGCTATTCTAAATGTATAGTAAAATTATTACAATGTTTTTTACAGCAATGTATCGTATATCTACAGATGATTATATTTTCAGTCAATAAAAATGTAACAGCATATTACTTTTGCCTTCTAGTTTTTCTTATATATACGCAAAAGCGTTTTCCTTGATACATCTATATCTCTGAAACCACTAGTTTGATTTCGCTCAGGTTTGAAAAGAAGTTAGGGATTGGTTAACAGATCATTAAATAACTGTAAATTTTATTAAATTCTATCCACTACTCTAAAAAAATTATTCCGCTTTCGGATTAGTAAAGATATTATTTGATACGCCTCTAGTTTGGAAACGGCTCGTACATTTTGACCCAAATTTGGATAATTGTTCAGAAATAGTCTAGTACCAATTTCAATTATTTCCATTTACTAATTAAAATTAATATAAAAAACTATTAATAATATAATGGCTGTGAAACGTGAAAGGCATCGATCACATGGAATATACAATATTTTAATGAAGATATAACATTTTAGGTTTTATTCAAAAAGTTTATTTACCGTCATTTTATTATTGTTTATTTCATAAGTTTGTAATTCTGTAAACGTTATTCTTTTTTATTGGAAGTTGTATGTTATGCTTTGTTTTTGGCAATGATGACTTCCAATTAAACAACAATTGATTTATTTGTTGTAGTCCCAAATTACATGTTTACATGTTAACGTTTCGGGAGTAAATATCCCGAAACGTTAACACGTAATATGGAAATACAACAAATAAATCGATTGTTGTTTAATTTGAAGTCATCATTGCCAAAAACAAAGAGTAAACATTATCATTTATTTCATATTATAACATTTTTGTGGATTTTTTGACTGTCAATGAGAGTGATGTGGCTGCCGCTATCTTGATTTTTTCTTCTAAATATAACTTCTTTTTTTTATTATTTCTTAATGATATTTACAACTGTATTAAAGAAATACATCTATTAAATTTGAACATATGGATCTAATGACGTGAAAACACTTGCTGAGTAACTACCCAATGGTAGCACTCTAATAATATGTCTACATTAGGAGATCACGAGGCCATCTTCTTTTCAGACGCTTCGGAGGGTTATCAGGAATTGAAGAGGAAGTTTATTATCTGAAGTTTATTATGGAAGGATAGGTATCTGAATTGGGCCAGATCTGAAACATAAGAAACATTAAGGTCATAATGGTTTATTTTATTTGTGACAAAGTAAGGAGCATTGAGGATTTTACGAAGGATTTTGGATTGTAAGGATTGGATCGAGAGGAATTCGATGGTTTAGTAGAGCTCCATAGCTCAACTCCGTAAGTCTAAATAGGCCTTATTATAGTCCTGTATATGAGTCTTTTGTAATTAATTGGAAGTTTAGAGCGTTTGTCTAGTAACTGCTGAAAAGTAATCGGATACGTCGAGCTGTTTCTCTTGTCGTTTCAGTCTGGTATGAAATATAACTTAAAATCTTACTATATATATTTTATATATATATATATATATACACTGTCATCACGGGCAGATTTACGGGGGGGCTTTCGGGCTGAAGTCCTCCCCAAAATGGTAAAATATAACCATGTTTTATGGAAAAAAAACTTTTAAAAATACCTCTTAAAGTATTATTGTTTGTGTAATTATATTTAAAAGGACTTCAGGAATCACTTAAACACCATTTCATATAGGTAGTTAGTTTCTTTCTGTTTTTCCAAAATAATTATCGTTATTTTTATGAAAAAAAAAAAGCTTTCGGGCTGAAGGCCCCTCCCCCCAAAATTAAATCCTGGAACCGCTAGTGACTGTCATAAAAAGACTTTAACTTTCCATTCTGGTTGGGTGGAATGGACTGCCGAAAAAAGTCTAGGAAGTTTATATTAAGTATAAAATTTATTTGTGATAACTAATTTAATTATTTCATTATTTATCACAGCAAATCTAGTGATGAGTACCATGACAGGTTTGGATAGATATTTGAAGTAAAAAAAAAATTATTTCAAAAGGAATATATAATACTATACATATTATGTATTTTTATTTTTATTTAAAGATTTGAGGCAGTGAGATGAATTCTCAATTCTCCTAAGCTTCAAATTCACAGCAGGAAATACGTTACAATCCTTATTTAAAAATGGAAGTGTGCACAGGAATGAATCATAAAATCCTAGGATATGTTGCCCACTCTTTATATATATATATATATATTCTCTTTATATTTATATTTTTGAATATAAATTAAAATTTCAATAATAGGACATACTGTGTGGTAAAATAATTGCTACCTACTTCGAGATTTTAGTCGTCAACTTTTCCAATTTTCTTATTTTATAGATTTTAGTTGACATATTTTATTCATTCGTGTAGATTAATTGTTATTGATTTTTATTTCATTTTGGTTTTTCGGAATATTGGAGGGAGAAGGGGCGAAACGAAATTCTACCTCCCCTCCCCCTATTATAATTGGGGAGGGAGGAGTATCGCCTCTCCACACTCTTGAGTAGTGGAGTACTATATAGAAGAGAAGGACGAAGAATACGTTTTTAAATGAGTAGTTTTAGTCTAAGGCTGAGGTTTGGGGTTTTGAACAGCTGACAGAATACGTAAGTTTTACCTTAGTCATTTTATTTATATTTTTCTGTTCATTCATTTTTATCATCAATTTTTCAAAATACATTTTTGAGTGAAGGGTTGTAATATTTTAGCTATAGTGTCTGCTTCTGTTAATTTAATATTTTTTGTACATGTAGTGTGAATGTGTTCTTATCTCCATACAACCATTGTCCAATTGACACAATGTTATATTATTCAATAAATAAATTAAAATATAAAATATTGCCTAACGTCTATGAAAATAATTTTGTTGGAATTGATACCATTCCATTCTATGCTAAATTGAAAATATTTTAATTTGTAATTATAAATTAATTTTTATTTAAAATTTTTATTAAAATTTGAAACAAAGAAATTAGAAAAAATAAATAAATAATTACCAGGAATCTCTGTAAGTAGGATGTACAAATGCATATAAATTCAGTCGGGTTTTTATGTATATTTAGTACATATCATGAGCACCCTCCATTACTATGATTGATCTGAACCAAAGACTTAAACAATCCAATGTTCTTTTTCTTACGTGATTAAGGCGAAGCTGCAAGAAGGATTATGTTTGTAGATAGACCATTTATAAATCATTCAATAATAATTTGAAACAATTTCAGCTTTGTAAAGACCCCTTTTTATATAATTATTAACATCCGACTAAAACTTCGTAAATAGCTTCATCTCATCGTAACCTATAAATATTTTATATAAAAAAATTCTCGGAATTTGGCCGTTTCCAAAATGGAGGTCAGAAAACTTTGTCTATTTAATTAGGTACTAAAAACTCGTAAATACCCCATTGCTTTCCACTTGAATCGTAAGATAAATATAAGCGTAAAGTCATGAAAAAAGGTGGCCTTCAAAAATATTACGCCGTTTAGTCTATATAACCTCGATATTTTGACAATTTTCGAGTGTAGGTCACGCCAAATGGCTTGATATTTTCGAAATCCACCTTTTTTCTTGACTTTGAGCTGAAGTTATCTTACGATTCAAGTGGAAACCAAATGAGTATTTACGAGTTTTTTTGTACCTAACTATATAGACAAATTTTGACGAGCTGCATATTGAAAACGCCCCAAGTTAATAATTTGACAAACAATGGTCTGTGCCACGGACTATAACACATAGTTAAAAATGTGTTTTATCTGTCCTTTAAAAAGTATATAACGATTTTTTGAGCAAACGCACAGAGGAAAAAGTAATCGAAAATAGCGACATTGACCAAAATACTAAATTTCTGTAATGACATTAAAATGTGTACAAATATTTTCTTTAAGATAGTCTGTTTTCAAGCGATTCCTAGGAATTTTAATAGTAAAATTTTAATAAATCTGCTCAATACATAGGCATTTTAATTTATATGTTTTTAAAATATTTGTCTACTTAATTATAATAATATAGATCTTATCTTTTAAATATTACATATTACATATATTGTTTATTAAATGTAAAAAAAAAAATTATAATATGAATTATTAGTAGATTATTTAATTCTGATTTTTTTTTTCTTTACATATAGTGTGAACGTGATCTTATCTCACTCTCGTCCAATCGACATAAAAAAAGTTATGTTCTTTATATTAGAAATTTAACTCGTTTAAAAAATAAAGTTTTCATTATTATTTTTAATAAAAGTTAAATATCTATAATTGGTCTGTTCTATATAGGTATCTATAATTCCTCCCTTCATTCATTTCTTCAAACCTTCTATGTTCTCCATTATCTCATTCCTTGTATGTCATACAATAGACCAAATAACAAATTTAAGGATAATTCAAACAAATATATTCGATTATTTGTCTGTTAATTATCAAGATCTTATTCTGTAGGGAGGAAAATCAACTTTTCATCAGTTTCATTCAAATGTTTTGTTGTTTATCTTGAAATTTTGTTTTAAATAGAAAAGGGCATTAAGTCAATGTTAGATTTATTTATTTATTGACTTATTATTGTTTAAATTCCTCTTTCTTTAAGGTTTAGGTTAATTGTAATTTATTGTTGTATTATATCATATATTGTTGTCATTTATTGATTATAATCCAGAATCTCATTCTTCATGTTATAATTTAATTATTTTTATTTATCTCTCTTTAACTCAAAATCTGATAAAATTTTGACGCATTAATATTATAAATTAAACAATATTGACAATTTTAGGTATTTTGGGTTTTTACAGTACGATTTTGCACATTTTGAGATTTTTGCTGCAAGTTTTTCGGGATTTTTCTGAACGAAAATCCGGTCTCAATTCACATTGTTAATCTCGCCTAATTGATGTTTTCACATCTGTCGTGTACTCTAAAGCACACACCTTTATTTTTTCATTTATATATCATACACGATGAACATTGACCAATATGCTTACATTGTAAGGAAAATACTACCTTGTATTAAGAAAATGAGTAGGGTATTTCACTTTATATCTATTTTTAAAACACACTCCGGGTGCAAGAAGTTCCCGGTTCAAGTTCACCTTGATTATTTAATTTACACGTGGCGGTTTATTTAAATATCGTCAGGAAATAGAAGAAAAAAATAGGCATTACATACCTCATTACTTTACACAAGGAAATATTTAGGTGAAAAATCCGAGTTCAGAGATATGTTATTAAATTACATAAGCATCTGTTAAGGAAAATTATAAATGATTTATCTCTAAAATCATAATTGTTCCCGTAATTCCTGATAGCATCACAAAAATATTACACGGCAGCTCACTATGTTGAATCGCTAAATCATATTGGATACTTCTCAACACTCAACAGGTGTTATCTAAACACCAAAACAAAAGAAAGTTAGGTGGTACCTTGAATTGAATTGAAGAAGGTGACACTATCAAATACCTTGGGAATCTCTCCCACTATCGCTATTGGAATCTTTAGATTTTAGGTCAATTTCTCAAAAATGGCCAATCTGATAGAACATTTTTACTGTTATTAAGTTATTTTTGGGACTGGCTACACTTCTATGCTGTCCTCAGAGCCCAGTAGGACCTCAGCAAGTTTTTGCTTCTGAAGAAGATTTTTTCGTTTTTTTGGAGGGAGGAGAATGGATTTGGATTAAGTTGACAGAAGGTAAAAGTGCCCAGTGTTTTATTATTTATAAAAAGAACCTAATTCCCAAATTTGGTCCAGATTAGGACCACCTGAAAAAAAGTTGTGAACAAAATAGCATAATTAATTACAACAGGAGGAGATTTATTAAAGAATCCGGGAAAATCCAAGATAGACTGAAGAATGAAAACTGAGAAGTAGTTGAGCACAAGAACTTCCAGAAACCTGACAAGAAAAACAAAATGGCGATCCTCTCTCTCGTATGAGGCCAGGATAGGAGTATACCTAGTTGAGTTGAACGTTAAGGGAAAATGTAAGACCACTAGTGGGGGAATCAAGGAGATTTCAATGCTTCGACGCATTATAAAGGCAGAAACGTTGGAGACTTTAACGGTGGGCCAGGCTCGTTCAGAAATCTCAACTACTGAAAGTAGTTAAGAAATATGCTAAAAATGTACAAATATATCTGTGGTACCTGTGGTAAGTGTAATTTTGTGAATTTTTATGATTATCACCAGATCTTTCTTTATGTCTAATGTGCTAAGTTATTGTTAAGCTATTACTGAGATGAGCATTCCTTAGTGAATTATATTGTTAACATAAAATGCACAGGTGCCACAGATATGCAATTATGTTTTTACATATAAGTAAAAAAGTATGAGAAAGTTATAGTAATAGGAATGTAGAAAGTTGGTGAAAAATTAAAGAGGTTTATCCCTTCTCAGAGATTTGCATAGGTATATCTAGGTACAATATGTATATCTCCCAAATATTAGAAAATAGGTTACTGGCCGATTTGGAAGGATACGAGAAAGCGCCTGGTTCAATTTCGCTCCGGACGCCAGAAAAACACGCGGAAGTCCTGAGTAAAAATTATATACACTTGTGAGTCACGTGGATTATTTTATCTCGTGACCTTAGAGTTAAATAAATAATTTCGAAACATTATTAATTCTAAGCTCATTATTTTCTGAAAATTAATTAATGTATTGCTCTTTTGTCTAGGATGATGGAGATGATTTTATACGCAGCACTTATAATTGCGCTGACAAACCTCGCCTTGGGTATAATAATATGGTTTAGAGTGCGCAAGTTATATGCTTATCCTGGGCTTCTGGGTTTCCCAGTTTTTGGAAACCTTTATTACTTCTACAAAAATCTCTTCTTAGGTTCATTTGAGAGTAAGTATGAGGTATTTCTAGATAATTTCATCAAGTAATTGACAGATTAAATGTGCATTATTATTTTGTTACTAGCCATTTGCTATTTGACCACTTTAAGAAATACGAAAATAACAGAGGTAATATTAGTGGTCTCACAAAGAACTCAAGAGTTTTTATGAATAATTAAGTTTGAAAAAATAAAATGTGGTACAGTATTACACTTCTTTGGTATTTATATCTGTAACAGTGCAATAATAAAGAACATAAATGAAAATAAACAACTAGTTTCTATAAGTACGCTGGGAATAATTTCAGGTACCAATACCTAAGTTTAGTGGAAAAAATTATTTGCTTATTTAATAGTACGAGTAATTTTCTTTAAATACATTTTATATTTACACCTCAATTAATATTATTTATTTACTTTAATCTTCAAAATTAATACTGTAATCATTTTTATATTAATAAGAGATCTATTGGTCAGCAATTATCACAAATCCATGAAATGTTTTTCTATTTCATTTCTAATCTCACAAAAGCACAATTAATTAATTTTAAAATTTCATTGGCTTGATTCGGTGGATTTTATATACTTTTTTCAAACTTATAAATAATTTTTTAAAGTTTACATTTAACTAGAAAATTTTCTAGAAAAAAAGTTCCTTGAAAACATGTGGTTTCCGTTAAATAATGTCATTTTACAGAAATTATTTTTTATAATTTATTCGTCACTCTGCATTACCTTCTACGACGTAATTATTTATATAAATTTTAATTTTAAATTAGTGTTGCCCAAAAGCAAGACCGAGACGAGTCTTGGTCTTCCAAACTCAGTCTTGATCATGGTCTTGGTCTTGCGCAAGAGTCTCGCAGTTACTTATTAGCTTATTACTATAGAGATATTACTGTAATTTTTTAGATAGGAGAAACCTAAGCAAACCCGAATGAAAAATTATAGGAGTTAAATGCAAAAGTATATTGGTTATACCAATTATTAATATATAGAAACTAAGATTGTCAAGTATTAGTAAATATTTTGCCTTAATTTTTATTTAAAAAATCGTTTTACCAGTCTTGGTGTTGGTCGTGGAAAGTGCCAAGACCAAGACCTATTTTAGGCAACACTATTTTAAACAGAATTTAATAAAATTAGTACTAGCATAAATTTGCATACTATTTTCCAAATTACCTCTGAATCGAACCCAATGAGCCGTTTTCAAACTATGGGCGAATCAAAATCGATAAATTTTGCAAATCTGAAAGCGAAAGTATTTTTTTAATGTAGTGGGTCGAAATTGGAACTCACTAAATCATCTGTTTAACAATCCCTAACTTTCTTCTACATTTGGGCCAATTCGAACGACCGGTTATTGAGAAATAAGCGCATCACATTTGCGCAAATTTAAGATAAAGTTGTTGTTTGGATTCAATAAAAATGATAAAGCTTCATTGTATTATCAGTACCCCCATTTCTTCAAAGTTTAAGTCAAATTGAATGGAAATTGGATAAATGGTAGTAGGTCCCGTTACATCGATATGGCTACAGACAGACCGACAGATTGACATCCATACCAAGTTTGATCCTTAATGTCTGAAAAATAAAACGCGAATGTAAATTTCCGATTCTGAGCCTAACATTTTTTTTAACCTCCTCCACGAATATAAAGCTTCTCTGCCTCCGGTAATGAGAAAACAAAATTTTCATGATGTAATAAACAGAAATATAATTATTATGTAACTATCTATTAAAAAGGAGTTTGTTTTAAGATTAAAAAAACAACTAATATATAGTGTGTATGAAATTCAAAAACTGTTTGTTCGTAATAGTTTCTTTTTTCGAAAATTACGTGTTTTTGACTAATGTGAACTAATATAATAACTGAAAAAATAAAATATTGTTACTTTACAATTGAATTTGTTACAAAATATGATTTTTCAATAGCCTATAAGATAAATGTACCAGCAACAGGTAGTTTTCAACTCATTAACATGTAATAAGCTTTGTACGACCAAAAGAGCGAGTAAATACGATTACATTTGAAGCTAGAACAATTAAGAAGGTGATTCCAGAACCTCATTTTTTTAATTAATTTTTCAATGAAGCAAGGCTGGGTATTTGTTTCAGAGATATAGATAGATTTAAATTTGTTATTTATTCATCTGTAGTTTACCATTTATTTGTTTAAAACTATGGAGTATTTATTTTCTTTTTGTTTAATTATTTTTGATAATGAACCATTGTGATTGAACAAAAAATTCAAAAACTTAACCCCCTCTTAAAATTTTGGGTTTTACGTTGCAGAATACGTAGATTCGAAAAACGAATAAAAAAATGTTTGTCCGTCCGCCATCCGCGCATTTTCTCCGAAATTACTGGATCGATTTTTTCAAATTTGGATATAAATTGAGAGGTTGACCCAAGGATGAACCTCCTTCATCGACATTACTATCCGCCTTTTATTTTCAAAATGGCGGCCGAAAACCTGCGTTACTATAGACTGTAGCGTCTAAACGAATGTACCGATTTCAATGAAAGATCGCTAAAGTCATTTTCCCGAAGCCCTTTAAAATTTATCTATATAACATACTTCAACAAAAAGAAGCTGGAAAAAATGTACGAGGGATGGTAAAATTAAATTCCGAATAACTCAAAAAGTATACACCTTTTTGTCGATATTGTATGAAAGTTTACGGAATTTCGTAAAAAAAAAATCGTTATAATCGGACAATTAGGAGCAAAGATAAGGTCTCTAGTTTTTTTGTTGTTTTTTTATATATGTTCTGCAGCAAAGGTTATTAGAGATCCACTTTTAGAATTTAATGTTGAAAAATTCTCTTGAATTGTCTATTACCGGTACGTTTAACTTAGACGTATTTATTAAATCTTCAAAATTATCAAGACCGTATATTAATAATAAAATTTATAATATCGAGGAAAAACGTTTTATTTCACCCTTATACATTTCTTCTATGCTTTAATTCATTTAAATTTCCCGACGACGTTTCGGTCAATTTTGCCCATTTTCAAGTCGAATATTTATCTATAATGTATTAACATAATAATTATAAATATATATGTAAAAAATATAACAGCACAAAAAATAACAATAAACGAAAATTCCAAAATATCAAATCAATGAATGATATTTCTACTTACATCATTTTTATATAATCCATGTAATTATACTTTTTTATATCATTATTGTAACATTTTTCTCCTAGAATTCTTCAAATTATAAAATTCATAAATTATTTTTGAAAAGTCAATTCTAAAACCATTGAAAAGTGGTAATTGAAATTAATTACATTTTTTGACTGTCCGCAGGTAATTTATAGAATAGAATTTGAAAGTGTTTAAAAAAATTATTTTTTGACTTTTCTTATTTGTGATATTTTATATGTTTCTTTTCAGTAGTTTTATAATTGACTTTTCATAAATAATTTATGAATTTTATAATTTGAAGAATTTGAGGAGATAAATTTTATAATAATTATATAAAAAAATACAATTATATGGATTACATAATACTGATGTAAGTAGAAATATTATTCATTGATTTGGTATTTTGGAATTTTCGTTTATTATTATTTTTTGTGCTGTTGTATTTTTCCATATATATTTATAATTATTATGTTATTACATTGTAGATAAATATTCGACTTGAAAATGGGCAAAATTGATTGAAACGTCGTCGGGAAATTCAGATGAATTTTCACACTTACATTTGCTTAACATGGTTCATTATCCTTACCAGTGACATCAATCTTATTTATAAAGATTTTGACCGAATCCTTCCTTATTTTATTTTACTGATATACATTTATTATATGTTATATTATCTATTTGATTGCAGGTATACGAGTATATTTGTTTGAAATTGTTAAACAACACGGAAAAAATGGTATATGCTTCCATATTGCGTATGGCTTCAGGAAGTTGGTAATAATTTCAAGTCCTCAAGTAGTCAAGGTAAAATACAATTTAAGTATGAGAACAAATTTATTTTGCATTCCATTCATTCAAAATTAATTTTGTTTATATTTGAAATATCAAACAGTCTTAATTTCCAAGTGAATATAAATTAAATTAGAACATGAGGTAAAGAATATCCCTCCCCCCAAAAAAAAGAAACTCTCTCAACGAAAAACCACTTATACACTTCTGAAGGTTAAAAAAAAAAGAAGGTTAATATCAACTACGAGTGTAAGATAAAAGCCTTCGGTGAAAGACGTGTGTTGAACAACAACACTCTGAAAAACACAAAAGGCATAAATATTTTTTAGAAGCCAGCAAAAATTTGAAAATAAATCGGTTTCCTATTTTTATTTACTGTCAGTTTAAATACGATCAATTGAGGAATAAATTTTATTTTAATCTACAATGTAGAAGAAGCAAAATAAATTTTATTCTGGGACTAAGCCCCCTTAAAATAATTACAATTTACAATTTAATGGCAATTAAAATGGCACCAACTCCTTTTCATATTATATCACGAACAACCGTCTCTACAGCATTATGGATACCTTTAATTTGGTTTATTTTAAGTAATTAACTATCTCTTATTATTAGAAGTTACGCAAAAAGGCTAAATATAACTTTTGAAAGAATATGATTATTGAAAAAAGGAAAAAAAAAGAAACGACTTATCCAGGTCGAAAATGAATTTCTGGAAACAATAGTCAGAAGGTATACGTATAAGATATCGTTGGAAAGTGGAGAATATCATAAATAGTAATGTATAATATATAAAGTTGTAGAAGGTAACGAAGAGTGACGAAAAAAATACTATAACCGGTTATGAAAAATAAAATTAAGTGAACACAAGCTGGAAACTGAGCATAGTCTCCTCTTTTGTTTATGATTGAGATATTTTATTTCAAATGAATTAGCCCACTGTGAGTGTAAACAATCAAAATATCTCAAATTGGAAAACATAGCTTCCTCACAATTATATAAACAATTAATGCCATGAACCACTTTCTTTATATCACAAACTTAGTTAATAAAATAAGTTACTAAAGCTAAAAGATAAATAACCATCTATTTTTTCCGGAAACAAAAAAAAAGAAAAAAGTTTGCTAACAAAATTATTTATTTTTTAGATTTAGAAATTATTAATTATTTATTGGAGTAGACAAGTATTTTTGCAATAGAAAATAACAAGTATTTCCCGCTTCCAAACTAGCATTAATTTCTTAATTAAATTCAAGTTTTTTCTAGTCAGGCAAGTCAAATTAGCATAAAAAAGGAATCTAGCTAGCAAAAGGTCGGGTAAACCAATTTATATATATATATATATATATATATATATATATATATATATATATATATATTGTATTGAGGTAGTGTCTATAAAAAAATCCAAGTTTCCGCTCTTGAAACCCTTGTGTGTTCGATGCAGTGCTAGAAAAACCATTGAAATTTCGAACTTTTTTTGGTTTGTGCTAAATATCTCCTTTTTAAAGTGACGTAGATAAAAAATGGTTATATACAATCTTAAACGACTTAAAATTATCTAACATGTTCATAACTAACGTTTTTTTTCTAAACCCAACAGGAAGCGAACTATCGAGCTTTCAAAATGAAGTTTTTTTTTTTAAAAAATCTGACAATTAAATTATTGTATTAATATTTGTTCGTTAATACAATCAATATTAACGAATTATCATTATATTTAATGATAAAGCAGAGGATTCTAGACGCTTATGCCTGTGCCGCTTTTTCGCCGATTAAGTTTATTTTTTAAGTAACTGCTTCAAATATTTTTAAAAGTATCGGTGTTTTAGAAAGAGAAATGTATTCTTCTTTTTTTTTTTCTGGGAAGTTGTCAATTTATTTTAGTTGTTTGGCAATAATAATTTCCAGTTGTTAACAATTGAATATATTTTACTATCAACGTTACACGTTAACAAATTAGTTGACGTTTCGGGACATTTATTCCCATCTTCAGAAATGCAATTCCAATAATCTTGTGAATGCAAGGCTAACAATTTTTTAAGTTATAATATTGTGCTTGTTACATTACATGTTTGAATTTTGTTTGTTACAATAAATTTGTAATTATCTTAAATTTAATAATAATAATAATAATGTGCTCCATCGTCAAATTTCTAATTCATGTTCTAAAATGTATCATCTAGAGCAACATCCTCCTTTTGACCAATAATTGGGTTTCTGCCATAGTGAAAAATTGACCTTTGGATCTGACTATTTTTATTGTTGTTGTTAATGTTTATTTTATGTGTCTGTGATTTCACTTCTATTAAATTTTAATTTTGTTTAATATGTCCGTATAAAGAAGACACATCACCAACACAAAGGATAAAATAGAACCAATAAACAAGAAAAATGCAATATATAAATTAAACTGTCAAAACTGCTCCAAAATCTACATTGGTGAAACATCCAAACAATTAGAAACTAGAATCTCACAACACATCACCAACTGTAAAAATCCAAAAAACATAAACACAACCTGCCTTAGCACATCACGGTATAAAACTACAGCATAAATTTAATTTTAACAAACCACAGATAATAGGCACAGGACCAAAAAACACCAATAGAAAATTACTTGAAGCAATACACATTACAAAAAACAACAGAACAACACTACAAAACAGACACTAAACATTTAGGAACCCATTATACGGACATATTGAACAAAATTAAAATTTAATATAAGTGAAATCACAGACACATAAAATAAACATTAACAACAATAATAAAAATAGTCAGATAAAACAGTCAGATCCAAAGGTCAATTTTTCACTATGGCAGAAACCCAATTATTGGTCAAAAGGAGGATGTTGCTCTAGATGATACATTTTAGAACATGAATTAGAAATTTTACGATGGAGCACATTATTATTATTATTATTATTAAATTTAAGGTAATTACAAATTTATTGTAACAAACATAATTCAAAGATGTAATGTAACAAGCACAATATTGTAACTTTAAAAAATTTTTAGTCTTGCATCCACAAGAGTATTGGAATTGCAGTTCTGAAGATAGGAATAAATGTCCCGAAACGTCAACTAACTTGTTAACAGGTAACGTTGATAGTAAAATATACTCAATTGTTAACAACTGCAAGTTATTATTGCCAAACAACTAAAAGAAATGTATTCTCCTGATATTTAATTTCGGATCATTTTTCCTGTTGGCCTCTTATTTACAAAAGATGCTTGATTTTTAACTTTAGTTTGAACGAGTTGAAAAACTTGATTTTAATAGTGTTTTTTATTGCCTAGGTCAATTATTTTTAAACATTTTTCATGTTTTATAATTTTGTAACTATTCAAGCTTTAACGAAAGGCCAATTATGGCGAAATTATTAATTAATTATGCTAAAATTCAGTGAACGAAAAACTAACTTAAGTCAAAGATATAAATCTGTCATATTTGAACGCTTAATATGTTAATAAATAATTACAAGGAACGCAATTATATGCAATTCATTGCAAGGTGCAAGTATGATGCAATGTAGGTAGGTATGACTGACCCACCGTGTAACATACTTGTCAAAATACCTCTCGACTACCGTATTCAAGTCATTGGCTCATTACCTTAAAAAAAAATCGAAATGCTCTATACGAGGATATAAAATGGAGTAATATAATTCTTCCTTTCAGAACTGAAATAGCACAATTATGAAGAAATCGAAATGAATAAATTTTGAAATCTCGATAGTTGGCTTTAGAAAAAAATGTTATGTACAAATATGTTAGATAATCTTAAGCTATTTAAAATTGAATATAACAATTTTTTATCTATGTTGCTTTTATCTATGCACAATTTCGTTTCGAGGGCGGAAATTTGGATTTTTTATATTCACTGCATACCTAACAATATAAAAAAGAAATTTTAATTACCCGACCTTTTGCAAGGTAACATGTCTAATTTGACTGGGCTATAGAATTTAATGCCTAAATTGCTCTATTTATACAAACGTATTCCCTTCTATATCTATATATCGATCAATATTAAGGAAATGGTATTAATATAAAATATTTCTCATTTAGCAACTAGGATTCCATCCACATCTGAAGGACAAGCCTGTTTACGGGTTTCAAGGTTTTAGACGCTATATGAATGGACCATTTAGCAGACCTCGTGAGTAATTTTCCTTCAATTATTATTAAATAATAATTAATATTAAACTATAATAATTAGTCATAATATAATATCTTGCATAAGGTATAAAGGAAGATATGAACTGGTTAGCAACTCATTTCGATTTTTCATGCGAACTATGGTTGACATGTCTTTCTCTGCATAACAACGTTACTATCGAATGGGTTCCATGTCACTTTAATATTACAGGTATCGATAAAGCGAATGAAGTAACCAGCAAATGCTCTGAAAATATTCCCATTATATCGGAACCGGTTTGCGGCATAAGCATGAGCTTTGCCAAACAGAGAATCGTGAAAATCTCTGGTGAAAAAGCAAATAAATACTGTAAGGACAAGGAAAAGATCCATTCGATGCTTTTCCTCCGCGGTCCGGCTCACTAAGGGAAGTTCTACTGAATATAAATAGTATCCTTGAGCGTGAATAGTTGCTACTGCAAATTGAATTTCACTTTAATGTTAACTAGTAGAATCACGGAATACGCCGAGGAAATTATCGGAGACTACCAATGCGGATTTAGACGGAATCGTACAACTATTGATTAAATATGAGAAGAAGTTGCTCGGGGGGTGCGGTCAAATTATTACTAAATTAAACAAGTAGAATTAATTAATTTTTGCCGACGTTTCGACCCACTTTGCAGGTCTTCATCAGGGCGAGGATGTAGCAATGCGGGAGACAGTTGAAACACTGGCAGTGTAAAAACTTTTTTAGTATTAATTTGACCGCACCCTCCGATCAACTCCTTCTCATATTATATCAACGGTCAACCATCTCTACATCATTGATTAAATATTTTCTTTACGGCAAATATTAGAGAAAAAAATAGAGTACAGCGGTATTGTTCACCAGCTATATATCGATTTCAAAACGGCTTACGATTCTATGACCACCAGAAACTGTATAACATTCTAATCGAGCAGAGGATTCCAAAAAAACTAGTAAATTTAGCCAGGATGTGCTTGACGGAAACACTCGACAAAGTTAGAATCGGTAATAATCTGTCCGAAAAATTTGAGATTCGTTCGGGTTTAAAACAGGGGGATTCCCTTTCGCCTGTCCTATTCAATTTGGCATTAGTACCTGAGAAACTCGGTGGGACAACACCCATGCTGGGCTATGCAGATGATCCGGTACTGTTAAGCAAAGACGTGGGAAATATAAAACTAAATACGACAACGTTAATGAATGCCAGTAAAGAACTAGAGCTCGAAATAAACACAGATAAGACAAAATATATGGTTAGCTGCAAAAATGGCGATATTCGTGGTGATATCGATATAGATGGTAATATGTTTGAACAGGTAGAGAGGTTTAGGTATCTAGGGTCTACAATAACTAGAAAAAAACGAAATTGAAGAAGAGATTAAGGTTAGACTGAAGGCTGGGAATGCTTGTTATTTTTCTATGACAAAGCTACTTAGCTCGCGCCTCTTGTCCCGAAACTTAAAAATTAGAATCTATAAAACAATTATCTTGCCTACAGTTCTTTATGGTTGCGAAACGTGGTCGCTTACATTAAGGGAAGAGCAACGTCTTAAGGTTTTAGAAAATGAAGTATTGTGTAGAATATTCGGTTCGAAGAAGGATGAATTAACCGGGGAGTTCAGACGGTTACACATCGCCGGATTGCGTGAACTATATCCGGGTAATATAATTGAGTTGATTTCATCGCGGCGAATCAAATGGGCGTGTAAAATTGTTGGGCTTAGTAACGAGAGAATTCCTAAAAGGTTAATATTTGCTGTACCGAATGGTAAACGTCCGAGGGGTAGACCGGAGCGTAGGTGGGAAGATTGCATTAAGGCCGATCTGAAGGGACTGAGGGTTTGGACGGCGAGCGATGGAAGGAGGTGTGTAATAAGCGATTGGTGGTGTCGGCATCGAACCTTCGCCTTTTATTATTTATTATTATTATTACTGCAAATTGAATTACCATAGGCTCAAACTATGTTGGACAGAGAGGACAGAGTCGTCTTTAATTAGACGAGTAATTTATAAATATTTACAAATAAATAAACGAATACTTATCGTTCTTAGGATCAAAACTAATTTTATTAAATTAATCAATTTTAATGAACAGTTAATTTGTATATCTTTCTTCAACAGCTGATTAATGTTACAGGTTCAGATGATTCATGGAAGATGAGACGGAAGGAGTACAACTGCTTGTTGAAGAAATCCAGTGTTGAAAATAACTTTTATTACAATTTCTTGAAATCTGCTGATAAAATGGTTGAGTTGATGTTGAAGTCTCCATCTGCTTTGGACATCCACAGGGCAGTCTTAGGTGTTACACAAAGTGTTACTATGGGTATGTTCTTTGAGTTGGCATAGTTTAGTTTTGAATTGTAAAGATAGATGCTCTGTTGTGAAAAGGTCTAAAAAAACACAATATACTGTTGATTTAGTTGAAGATGATATTTTGAAAAAATTAACCCATTTACTATAGAATTTTTTAAATTATAGATTTTTAAACCTTATAAATGTAAAGTTTTAACTTCAAATAATATATTAAATCAATTTTTGATACAAAATTTTCTTTAAAAAAATGTTTACACACTCAGGAAACAAATGGTTGTTTTACAGCCCTGTACTGATGCCAATTTGGACATAAGCAATAAAACTCCTGCAAAAACAAACACACAAACAGAATATAAACAATGCAATCCAAAAATCATCTTCCAAAAATTTTTAATGTAGTTACTATATCATTGGGTTGGCAAATAAGTCCTTTCGGTTTTTCTGTTTATTTTTATGTCACTATGATACACTTCTTATCTGATTAATTACTCCCTAATGTGGATTGTTTATCCTGTTCGTAATATGTCAACAACAATATCTGTTAACTCTTGTTGAAACTAGCTTAGTATTGTATTTGCTATTGCACTATGAATATGGAAGAAAATATCATTCATTATCGGCATATTTTGTTGTATGGCAGGATAAATTCTTAATCAAATGCACCTGTCAAAATTGATTTGCCAAATTTCATTCAGGAAATTTTGACATCAATGATGCTCAACGGTCTAGTCGCCCACATGAAATTGAAACGAGCAATATTAAGGCCATTGTTGATCAAAATCTCACATAATCAGTGCGAGAGATTGCTATGGCTCTAAATATGTAGCACACAAGCGTAGAAAACCATTTGCACATGCTCGGCTATGTTTCCAGGCTTAATGTTTATGTCCCTCACTCTCTAACTGAAGTCAACTTGGTAACAAGCATTTCTGTTTGAGATTCACTATGGAAATGAGATATAAGAGATGAGTTGGTATGGGCATGTTGTGAGAATGAAGGAGGACTTATGGCCTAATAGGACACTTAAGCATCTACCATTAGAAAGGAGGAAGAGAGGTCGACCAAAATGGAGATAGATGGAAGATATACCTAAGGCAATAGCTGCAAGAGGATTCCGAGAGGAAGGCTTATGACAAAAAGAAATGGTGGCAGGGCTTATTAGGTTATGGCATATATATTGTAAGGTTACTTCCCTTCAAGAAGTAAACAAAACGTTTCTTAATCAAATAATATTTATTTTATGCAATAATAATTTCCCAGGTTGGTTTTAGACAACTAACCCACATCCTCAATTGAACAATATAGAAGCATACAATAACTATACAGCACATTTATGAATTTCCATTGTTTGTTTGGCGCGCTTCCAAACTGTCCATTTATATTTCACTCACCCTGTTCTGTGGTGAATCTTCCTCGGTATTGCATCCAACTTCTACAACCTCCTCTTGTTCTATTTTCTTGTCTTCATCTCCACCATTATCAATTACTTACATTTTATTTTTTTTCAGAAACTCTATTTGGTGTTGAAAGCAGTTTGGCATTTCATCCCGATGTCCTCCAATACATGCATTCGTAAGATATTATATTCACATTTATTATTTAAAAAATGTCAGTACTTTTTATCATAAAAATTGCTAAGAGCTTAAAAATCTTATTGTCATTTACAAAAATTGAATATTTTTATTACAGTGGTATGAATAGTAAAGCTCAATGAATAAAAAATTATTCTTGTTCTTCCATACCCAGCTTGGTGATAATTATTTATTCTGTTTCTAGAGATTCACCCTGATATAAATCCTTCCTGGGACAGCCCCTCCTCCAATTCCTCTATAAAATGATACTCTTAATTTGCGAGAAAAACCAGTTGAACATGATTCAAGCCAAATCACCTCTTTACAGAACTAATGGTTTTGTGATATTAATAAAGTACTGAATCCAAGATGATTCATGATTGTTTGTTCATTGATTGTTTTAGTTGAATTTTTTTTACTTTCACTTACCAATATATGTAATATATAGTAAGAGAAAGTATTGCGATCGTGAAAATTTTTTAATCTGAGTTTTTAACGGAAATACACGTTTTGAGGTTCCTGAGTCCAAATAACCGAGAAATTAAAATCGACTAACCACGAGTGACACTTTTATAACTCATTGATATGGTCATATCAATGGTTAAACACAGTTTTAAAATTTTCTCAAAACCGGCTCTAACGATTTTAATTAAACTCAATGTATTATTGTATAATTAAGTGGTCTTTAATATCATTTAAGTCTTATACCCATTGTTGTCACTTTACAGAGCTTAAATGTCCAATGTTCAACATGTCTGCCTCTTAAGTACATTTAATTTGGTTTATTGTAAATAATTAACTATCTCTCATTGTTAAGAGTCACAAAAACATGCTAAATATAACTTTTGAAAGAATATGATAATTGAAAAATGGAGGAAAATGTTTATTTTATTCGAAAATGAACCGTTGGAAATACTAGACAGAAGGTATACATATAATATATCATTGGAAAGATGAGAATTTTAGAAAAAAACATTATCTAATATAGGAAGTAATTGAGAAGAACCAAAAATTATAAATAATAACTTTTGAAAACTAATATTATTTTATGGAAATCAAATGTTTTCAAAGAAATTAAGTAAAATTTACTAATTAAATGTTAACTTTTAAAATATTTTTTTAGTATAAAAGTTGTGTGTTGTGCGCACCAGATTTTTTTTTTCTGCATCAGTGAAGCGACTAGTATCAATATTAATAGATATTTTAAAATTATGAAAAATGTTATAATTTGTATCAGATTGTGTTTGCTGGTTTTGGAAGTTCTATGAATATAAAACCAATGTACTTAATTAAGCTTCAAATATTTGAGCTAATATAGATAATAATAAAAAAAAAAATTACAATAAGTTTTTTACAATTTTATACTTTGTTAACTGAAATAAATTTTAACTTTGACCTAATTAACGAACTTATTATTATTTCGATAAGATATTCCTTACATACTATATTTTTACCACTGATGATTAATATTTCATTGCTTCAGGATAAAAGATATAGCATCGCGCATTATAGCAAGTCCAGGAATAGCAAGAACAATATTGTCCATACTAAGACCCTACGATGAAATATATATTCGAAAAATAGGAACATTACGGAGAATGGTAAAATTATTTTTTTTTAATGAGATAAAACTTCATACAATAGGAAAATTGTAAATCAATATATTTTTCAAGTGCCTTTCTTGTTGTTTCAGGTTTTGAAAGAGTTATACAGAAAGATGAATAATAACCAATGTTTTCCTTCAGGTATGAAAAATGTTTTTTGTTTAAAATTTATTGAAATATAAAAATTAATAATACCATTATGTTTAACAAGCAATGCTTGAAACATGTTTTTATCAAGAAAAAAATCTAAACTTTCACATATTACTTTTTTTTTCAAACAGAAACGGGTATTTTCAGACAAAGAGAAGTGAAAGTAAAAATTATGGACGGTTTAAAATGTAGTTTAAAACAATTAATTACCATATGTTTTTCACAGCCATATATTATATTTATGATTTTTTGGTCACTGACCAATTTCTTTTATGACTATATATTTTAATTATTTATTCGTTTGTAATAAATAATCGAATTTCACGAAATATTTTTAGTCCAACAGAAGTGCAACCGATAAAGAAGGCCTCTATATTTCTTTGTGCGTATTTTTATTTGTTTAAGCATTGTTATAAGGGATGATTGGGGTAGCTCAGCGGTAGGACACTGATCTTCTAATACTCAAGGTTCCAGGTTCGAGTCCCGGGTCATGGTAGAAAAATTATTTATTCTGTAGCATCAGCTGTGGGGCGTCACTGGGGTCAAAAGACATTCCTGGGGCATACCCAGCCTCTATAAAGTGGGTATCCTTAGAGAGAAACACTTTATTTTCATAAAATATAAAGGATTAGTGCCCAATTATATTGGGTTGCTATAAACACAGCATACTCTTCTATCCTTAGGACAATATATGAATTTATATATAAATATACAGAATTATTAGTTAATATTATTAAAATAAATATATATACATACATTTTTTTTTTCTATTTTTTATTTTATTTTTTTTTAACATTAAGTTTCCCTTTCTCTCTATTGTTTTCAATTATTCATTAAATAAATAAATAAATACATAAATTAAAACTCTCGGGCTAGCCATGCACGTAGTGGTGAATGATTCCCAGGGAGTCGAGGACTATATTTTCAGCCAACCTCGCTACGTCCTTAATGTCGACACCTAGTTCCTCGAGGAAGCTCCTTGTTCTTTTTGGGATAGTTCGGCGAGACCCAAACCAGAGGCCTCTCACGGTGAATTCTCTCTCTCCAAAGGTCTCACGGAATTTATCTCTTAGGAAAGGGATACATTTATCGAACGTGTTCATCTTTTCCCTTTCCACTTCACCCGCCTGATCGAGGTCATTGCTCTCAAAGCGGACAGTTGGATCCAAGATCAGCGCTGTCCTTCCTGTCTTGGAAAATGCGACGATATCCGCGTATCTCGTAAAGCCTTCACTATCGATGCAATATACCTCGTCAAAGCAAGTGAATTTCCTTTCCCTAAGGAGCCTCATCAACTCGAACTTGACCCGGTGGTGACGACGTGTTATGAGGAGGGAGTTGTTGGGGCATTTTCCCAGCACATGGGCTGGTATTTCAAACTCTCTGCCGCATTTACGGCAGAGGGACCCAACTTCCTGTCCGCTGACTCCTGGGACTCCACGCAGGGGTGCATAATTAATGTTTAGTTTTAGGGCATTCGACCATTCAGACCCAGAAAGTACTTGCTTTTCGTAGATGTATCTATTCGCTTTCGGGGTCTCTTTAAAATGGTGAACACCAATACCCTGCCACCTGCAGTTGGCCCATTCCTCAAATGCATTTTCTCGTAGCGACTGCCGTAGAGCTTTCACATTTCGATGTGAAAGCTCTACATCTCTCGGCACATTCAGTAATTTCAGCCGAATAATCGAAGGTAGACTGAAAAAGGGCATCTGGTACATTGCACAATCGCTGAGCAATGGACCAATGTTGAAGAGGAGCCTCCCATCAGCAGCGGATTAATCCCAATCCTCGGTATCTGGGAATCAGAAATCAGAAACCTAGCGTCAGAAACCTAATCAGAAAACCTGGCGGTTGAGCGTGATCCCAGTCAAATCAACTCCTTGCACAACCGTTGACTAAAAAACAGTACTTTTCCTAAATAGTACTGAACCCAAGACCCTTCATGGGTTGTAGTGGTACAGTTTAATTTTTTTTTACGTTTATACAAATTTTAATTTTTATATTGTTATAATCAATACAATTAAATATTAAATAATACTAACACCAGTATTTATGAAAACCGCACATCTATATTTATAAAAAGATAACCTGGCTATACCGGATCCGAACCAGTGTTGCTAGACACGAGAATGCTAAAACGGGTAAAGTTCTAAACACTCATCCATCATTAACTCCAAAGGTCTTAGCCCGCCCTGGAGGCAGAGCCCAAAAATCGAAATCATCGCAGGCGAAGGTTTGAATGTAAATTACTAAAGTCTATGTTATTCTGAGTAAAAAGAAACTTGTCTGCCATTCCAGAGCCGTTGCTTTAAAAAATAGCGGCTGATTTAAACAATATCAGGCCAGTAATTTGAGGATCAAAACGAGAATTCCATTGCAAAAAATGTGAGAAAAGCTTTTATTTTTTTAACATGTATATATGGGTTCAGACGTAAATAACAAAATAGCTACCATGGGTCACAAAGAGAAAACTTTTTACAGCCAAAAAAGTCATATTTTTTCAATATTTTTTGTTTTTTCACCTACAACTCCTAAATGATGCATCAAAGCGAAAAATGTACTCTTTAACAAATTAAAGAATGTTAAATTGTGTGTCGAACAAGTACATAAACTTTATAATTTGGTCACTGGTAAGGTATAAAACCACAGTCAACCAATGCTGATTTTTACCAAATTTGTCAAAAACTGAGACAAATTACTATAAATGGCCCTGTTAATTGGAATAACTCATAGAATGAAAGTTGTATAGCATCAAATTTTGCATCCAGTGAGTACGATATTTATATTGTACACCTGTCTTTTTTGGCTGTAAAAAGTTTTCCCTTGGTTGCCCACGTTAGCAATTTTGTTTTTTAAATGTCCAAACCCATATATACAAGTTAAAAAAATAAAAACTTTTCTCACATTTTTTACAATGGATTTCCCTTTTCGATTCTCAAATTACTGGTCTAACATTCTTTAAATTAGCTGCCATTTTTTAAAGCAGCGGCTCCGAATAATATAGAATTTAGTAATTTACAATCAAACCTTCGCCTACGATGAGATTGATTTTTGGGCCCTGCCTTCAGGGCTATCTGGGTTCAGAACAGAATTGGATATGTAGCTCAAGAGCTGAAGAGAACTTTATTTACTTTTTGAAGTAAACATTTTGTTTCACAACTCTATAATGTCCACTCTCAGCATTTAAATTATGCTTGTCAACTAATTCAAAATGGGATTGTCCATTGAAAAAGAATTTAAAAAATACCTAAAAGCAGTATTGTTTCAAGCCGCAGTATTACTTGAGACTGTACTTCGCCCCCTGCCACTGAATCGGCACCCTGCGGCCAATAAGCAAAAAATCATGGTTTTCTATAGCTAACCAGCTCTAACTAAGAAGTTATTATGATTAGATAATTTGAAAAGATTATAATGAATTAATATTAAGCATCTGTCATTATATACAAAGATAAAATTTATTTATTTTTTAACAGAAAATACACAATCATTTAATCACTTACCAATGTACATTGCGTCAAGGACTGAGAAAAGTAAAAAATTCAATCGGAGAGTGGTAACTGAATTGCAAGAAGTATTCATAACAGTAAGTATTAATTTAAACATTTTTGGGTTTTAGGAAATATAATTATATCATATTATATTACTAGAAAAATATATTTAATTTTTGTAAATTTAAATAAAACAATCTGACTAAGTAATCAATTTTGATCTTTCTGTGCTACCTCGAGTATGTAGTGTTAAACAAAAATTAATTTATAGTGGGTTTAAGTAGAAATGCCATACTGATTATGAATATATCTTACATGAAACTGTTTAAGAAATAGTAGGGGGAAAAAAATTAGTGCACAAATCAAAGAACTTTCACTTAGCATTCAACTTTGAGTAAAAAAATTTATTTATTTTATTATTTCATGCAATTTGCACCTAGGCGGCAACACATCTAACAAATTTGTTATATTTATATATTTTTTTACTGTATATTTGCTTGATTTTGATATGGTAGGTCTCTTGACCATTTCCTTTTTAATCTGCTTCATTCAGGTAACAGGGAGCAGAAAATAAAAAGAACCAGGAGATTGGAGTGATTTTGAGTTGAAGAATGAAATGTAGTGTATTTGCCGTGGATTTATTTGAAATATACCAATGTGTATTAACAATTTTTTGTTGTGATGTTAGTATTTTTATTTTGTTTGTGTGTGTTTGTTTTTCCAAACCTCAAAGTTCTGCACCGTATGTCCAAATTGGTCTCAGTATTGTGTTGTAGATCAGTCGCTTGTTTCGTAAGTTCAGTGAGGATCTGTAGTCCAGATGTGTGAGTTGGCTATATCTTCTAGTTAGTACTATCTTTTTAATTCCGTATTATTATTATTTTTCCTAAAAATAAGATATTCATTAAATTATTTTTGAACTTAAATTTAATATGTTTGTGTATTTAATAATAACTTGTTTTAGTCTTCACATACTGTTGCGTCTACAATGTCAAGTACTATCACTTGCTTAGCTGTGCTTCCTGAAATACAAGAAAGAGCTTGGAAGGAACAATATGAAATTTTTGGTGATGATAACAGGGAACCAACTCTCCAAGACCTTGAGCAGATGACATATCTTGAAAGGTATCTTTTGCATCATAACGAATTCCAAAATAATTCACTTAACTCTAGAACGACACACTTAAATACATCAACTCATTCTGACACTCTGGGGTGTGGTATACCCCAAACTTTAAATTAATATAAAATTTAATTGTTATACTCTGGAAAACTCAAATACTTTTTAGAAATAAGATAAATGATCAGGAAAACAAAAAAATAAATAAATTCAAGATAACCTTAGAGAATATAGTTTATATGCTCACATAAAGTAAAAAGTTAACATCAACATCACCAAAAAATAAAAAAAGGACCAATATTTTTCCTTTGAAAATACATTAAGTCTATATAAATTAAATATATACCTTTGGAAGGTAAAATATATACATAATAAAGGGAAAAAAATTACTTAAAAAGATAATAAAACCTATAGTGGCGGTCATTTAAGTGACCACTCACTCTCAAGAATCCAAGAGCCCTGTGTTCATTGCAGATATGTCGCTTACATTGCTGACAAATCATTTTTGTCTTCCTATCTTTCACTCTCGTACAAAACGAATATTTGACTTGTGTTTTCAACAGTAGTTGTTTATTTTTTAACTTTCCAAAATTTCATTTATGTTGAAACTCATCATTCATTTAAGTGTCTCAACTTGCAGCCTTCCTTTCAAACAAGGCTCAAGTTATAAATAGCCTAATTCAAATAAATAATTTTATTCATTTCATCTTCTTGTCCCAGTCAACTAACTTGAACAATAATATCATGCTTTTTATACAAGCATGGTTCAATATTTCAAAGAAAAATTGGAGTGACAACCTCCTCGTTTTTCTTGCTGTTGTGTACACATGACAAATTTGATACTATTCCTTCTATTTTTCAATATGCTCCTTGCATATTTTTTTCATTTTTTAACTCCCATAACAATTTATGGATTTCTTCAGGAAAATTTTTTGATAGTTGCTATACTAAAAAAAATAGTTTCTATACATTAATGTCTGAATTGAAAATACCACTAATTAACAAATATAACACTGGAAATCTGTACCTGAATTATTTGAAGTTTCAAAATAACAAAGAAAACTCTGGAATAGGAAATTCATAGAAAAGTTGCATAGACAGCACACTGGGGTGTGAGGCACCCAGGAGAGTCTCTAAACAACACAGTTGATGGGAATACCCCATAATTACTTTTGATAACTCCTAATAATGGTATAAACTCAAAAATGGAATGCTAATGACCCTAATTAGCCTGGATATGTATGATGTTTATTTACATGACAAAACTTGGACAAAGATCTATTTATATAAAACTAAATTAATATTTAAAATGTTGTGGGGTGGGTCACGGCCCAGTGTATCGTTCTAGGGTTAAAAGTTACTTCCTCAATTTCTCATTTTATATTAAGTTATTTTAACATGGAAATTGGAAATTTACACTTTTTATAATATGGTAGTATAGATTCCTTTTCCGGCTGTCCAAATGAGGTATCGAACAGAAGGAAATTTCATGGAGAAGTGATGAATCACAATTTCGACCTCAAAGTCTGGGCATAACTTTAACAAAAGCCATTGAAAAAAAAAAATTAGGTCATCAAGATCCAGTCGAGTCCTTTAGAAAGTGCTGGATCCTGCATTTTAAAGCCCAAAAATGACAGAAATAATTCATAATTCATTCCAAAAGACTCCGTTGCCAGGGTTGCCATTGAATACTTATTATATGTAGTTTAGACATTTAAAAATTAAAATATTGCTATTTATTATATTAGTGGATTGATGGTTAACTGTAGTAAATAATTGAAGAGGAATTGGTTGAGGTGTTATTTTTATATTTGCCAATGTTTCGGCCCAAAGTTCAGGCCTTCATCAAGGCTAAGAAAAGACCAGATAAAAATAGGCATGAGAAACTATTAACTTATGAAATAAATAAATAATATTAATAATAATGATGTTAGAAATATAAGAAAAAAATGAATAACAGTTACAGAGAGGAATTTATAAAATAAATAATAACGGTAACAATGTTGGGGACTAATGAAATAAACTTGTTTATTTGTTTAAAAAAATGTATAAATAAACTATGATGGGAACTTATGAAATAAATATAGTAAAATTAGGTAACAAAAGGGATAACAAAATTAATTAACAAAGAAATGTAACGGAATATTGAGATAAAAACAATGAATGGAGTGACGGTGACAACTCATTTTAATGGTTGATTAGCAAATTACAATCGTTCCCCAATAGTAAATCAATGGCTATACCTGGACTATGGTAGATTCACTGATTTCTTCTTCGGCTTCCACATCAAATAATTCGTTTACATTGTCATCATTGGTCTTCTATCTCCTTTTATTTATTTTTTATAAATTAATAGTTTTGCATGACTATTATTATCTGGTATTTTCTTAGACCTGATAGCCGAACATCGGCAAACATAAAAATAATTATTTTTAATTTTTTTTTTTTTTTTTTTTTTTTTTTGTTTACTGAACATCCCACCCAACTCCTCTTCTGTTGTTTGCTATAGCCTGCATTAAACTAAAAAGCTATTCATAAATATAATTATGTACACAGCTATTTTTATATCAAAAATATAAATTATATACATACTTGATTATTCAAAGTGTTCAAATATTTGAGAATATTGATCCCTTTTTGAACATCATTAATGATCTAAAAAAGGCTTTTAAATTAAATTTTCCTTTAGAACATATAAAATTGGAGTTGGTATTTTAATGTATTGGATGAATAAATATTAGATTACATTTTTTTTTATAGGTTCATCAAAGAATCTCTTAGATTTTGTGGTCCTCCATTGGTAGGAAAACAAGCAACTGACGATATTGAAGTCGGTGAGTAGAACTGTATCATACTTCTTATTATATAAGTCTTTCTAAACAAGTTATTATTTAGTTGCTGTATTATTCTTAGCATGCATTGTGAGATAATCTTAAATGAAATAGATTTTTAAACATAATAAATTTATGGAATTTTTCTCAACATAACACACATTCAGAACCGACCACTATTTTTTTTATTTTTGTTTTTAATAAATATTTCTTCAACCAAACTCCTCCTTTGATGACTTCCTTCAGTCTTCCTTGTCTACCCCATATTCTATCATACCTTATCTACAGGATCTCAAACATTATTGAACAACTATTTATATATTACTCTATAGGTCCTTCCGTATCTATTTTATCAGCTTTATTATAATCATTTCGAATTTCATTTTTTGGTCCAATTATTAGACAAGGAGCACTTCTGGAAATTTCGATACTTCTTTAAAGATTTTTTTTTCTTTTTTGAAGTAAAAATAAAATTTGATTTGTAATGCCTACTTGCTTTAATTTTCAGATGGAATAACTATACCTAAAGACACAATTGTAGTTTACCTTTTGGATTTTATGAGAAAAGATCCAAACTATTGGAAAGATCCCGAGTTATTTAACCCTGACCGTTTTCTCGAGGGAGGTGAAGAGTTAAAATATTCCTTTGCACCGTTTGGAATCGGTGTTCGAAATTGTCCAGGTAAATGTTTGATATTTCAAAAAAACATAAGTAATGTGATTTATTTTGTATTTATCTTAGATTATGTATTAGAAGTTCACTCTGGCTATAACAGAAATAGCCTATGGTAAAGTAAAAAAAAAAAATAGTGGGTGACAATGTAGTTAAAAATTGTCATCCACTATATCTCCGATATCATCTTTTAGTTCTGTAACAGACAACTTATTCTTATTTTATATCTACTTATATTAATCTATTTTCACCATGTTTTGTATCTTTTGTAGCCCTGATGAAGACCTACAAAGTGGGTCGAAACATCAGCAAAAATTAAATAATTCTACTTATTTAATTTAGTATTAATTTGACCGCACCCCCCGATCAACTCCTTCTCATATTATATCAATGGCCAACCATCTCTACATCAATAGAAATAATTGTTTCCACCCAGACATTTTATAAAAATGAACATGGATATCAAAAAGCAGCAAGCAACTAAAAACAAATTGTATTCAAACTATCACTCTACAACCGATATCATACATATCCATAAATTTATAACTTTACTAAATACTATACTATAAAATTTATGTTTATATTTCTTAAAACGCTGCAAATTATCAAACAGCAGTTTATTATTTTCAAGCAATTATGCATCAAAAATAACATTAATTTCCTTGCAATATAACAGAAAATAAAGAAAATTTAATTCCTAAAAATGGCCTAAATAATTTTTTTTTTCAACACTAGTAATTCCATAAGAAAAATAAACAACACTGCTTCAGTCAGTGTAAAACTTTTAAAAATTCAAAAGCTAAAACAAATGATATAAGCTTTGCAGTAGAACATATGAAAAATACTTAGAACACTTTTTAGAATTTAGAAATTTTGTGAACTTTTAAATAATGATATCTTTACTAATAGTACTCTGATTTCGATGAAACTTTTTTTCATTTTTTTAGGAAATTTAAATAACTTTGAAACATCTGATTATAAAAATTACAAAAAAGTATACACTTTTTGAGTTATTCAGAAATCTAATTTTACCAACCATCATAAATTTTTCAGCTTCTTTTTTTTTAAGTATGTTATATTGATAAATTTAAAGGGTTTCAAAGGAGCAGAGACATTAGCCAAGTTTCATTAATATCAGTACATTCATTCAGGGACTGCAGTCTATACAACACAGGCTTTCAGCCGCCATTTTGCAAGGGAAGGACTTTTCGGTGAAGTACCTTCTATAAATAAATTTAAAGAGCATCTAGGGAAAGACTTTAGCCAAGTTTCATTGAAAACAGTACATTCGTTTAGGCAGTACAGCCTATAGCAACAAAGGTTTTTTCGGCCGCCATCTTGAAAGAAAAGAGCAGATAATAATGTCGAGGTAAGAGGATCATCCTCGGGTGACCTTTGACATATATTTCAAATTTGAAAAAAATTGATCCAGTAGTCTCAGAGAAAAGCCGTGGACGACGTACAACAGATAGACAAAAATTTTGTATTCGATTTTCGAGTTCTACATATAATATAAATCTTCAAATTTTGAGAGGGATCAAGTTCTTTGATTTTTTTGGTCAGTTACAGTAGTTCATTGTTGGAAATAATAAACCCAAAGTAAAATTGTAATTAGATTAAATTGTAAAGATTAAGGAAAGTTACCTTAGAAGACTGGGTATACCATGCAAAAAAAAAAATGCTACTTCCAGAATGGGAGAAAGAATATAAGAGGAAAGAGTGCAAACTGACAGAAGTTAAACCTAATTGACGCAAATTCCTCAGAAGTTCAAAAATATAAAATTATGCTTTGCAGACTAAGGATAGGACACTGCCAGTTTACACATGGCTATCTTGGACTCGAAGAGCCCATGTGTCAAAAATGCAATAACTTACCACAAACAGTGAAACACTTACTAGAAGAATTTCTCCAATTTGAAAATTACAGAAGAAAAACAAACAGCCAAAACATGAAGAAGAGAAATTTTAGAAGAATGAGTCACTATTTTGTTTAAGTTTAAATTAAAGTTAACGAAATAGTATAAATTGCAGTAAAACACCAATGACCCTTGAGAGTAGAAAAAGAAAGAAAAAAAATTACAACCATACAGTCCTAAGGTTCCAAAATGCAGGTAAGGAATAAAAAACTCTGCCAAAGTCAAAAACCAATTAAGGCATCAAAAGGAAAGAAAATAAAACAAAATGAAAATCACATCACTCCTTGACATCTAGTAATTAAGGCTGTGTGGTTGGATTTATTCCAATTGTAACCTATCATTGAATTTCTGTTTTTTTGGTTAGTTTTTTACTAATTTATATCAATAAAATTATTACTCATTCATTAATATAGAGAAATAAGAAAGATACTTTTACTTTTGAATTGTAAAAATGAACTTGTTAATTGTAGAAGAAAACATATTCAATTTCAAGTTTACTGAACATTATCAAATTGTTTTATTTTCCAAATACTAAAAAAAAAAATTTGTTGGTTTTTCAGGTATGACTTATGCAATGACAGAGATGAAAATTATATTATCAAAAGTATTGAGAAGAACAAAACTTTCATTAGTTAATAAAGATCTAAAATTTGAAGACCTTGAATTCGAAGCTCAGATTTTGATGGAACTGAAAAACCCTCCTTTGTTACAAGTTGAGGAAAGAGTCTGATAATTAATTATTTAATTTAAATTTTTGTATATTTATTTATTTTAAATGATAATTCTATTTTCCCTTGTAGTAACTACAAATTTTATTATCACTAAAATCATTATTCATATTTAGTGTGTATATAATGTAAATAATATTATTGTATAAGATAACAGACACATCACCATTATCATATTGTACCAAAGAGATATATACATAAACATGTGAACACCCATATGAAAATATTGTAATTCTATCCATCATTGTGACAAATATATTCTATATACTGCATATGTTTTAATGTATAAATATTATTGAAAATAAATATACAGTACCAAACAATCATTTATTTCATCCATAATCTTATGATTAACTATTTATTCATTAAATTCGGTTTATTTTGACACCAACAGAATAATCTCCTAAATCCCTACTCCCAGTCTGGTCTAATCAAAATTTCCTAAGACCTACATACAGTCCTAGATCAGCAGAAACTAACCATCCTTATTCTCCTTGACTTCCCCAAAGCTTGTGGCTTGAAGGCGACTATCTTAGTATACCACAACATCCTCTTAAATAAACTTACAAATATCTTCTTTTCTCTTAGTGCTCCGAGTATATTATAGTTCCAAATAATCCTTCATCAGAGACTTTACCCTTGTCCAGAGGCGTCTCGTCTCACAAGGCTCCTCCTTATCTCCCATCCTTTTTTCCATCTATATAAATGACCTCCCATAATCTATCCTGCACTGTCAATACCACCTGTATGCCGATTACTTCCAAACTTGCCTCTACTCCAATTCGACCTATTCCTCTGATGACATCCTAAAACTCCAGGAAGATATTGACAGAATATGTGCTTGGGCAAACTTCAACAGGCTCACTCTAAAGGATGAGAAGATGAAAGCCATCTTGATTAGATCCCCTCACATCTCAAATATTTTCCGGTACCCCAATCTTCTCCTGAACAACTCAACTATCTCATTCCATACTTCCATAAAAAACTTGGGTGTTACTTTTGATCAAACCCTCTCCTAGAAACCACACATTTCCCAAATTTCTCATCATACTATCTGCACCCTGAAACAGTTCAACCGTCTACGCTATCTTCTTCCATATATATCCCGTCAACAGAGAGCTCTCGGGAGAATTTGAAGCCAAACTTGAACACCTTATGAATTGCTCAAAACATTTTGTTTTCGAAATCTCAAGAAATACGAATATTACTCAGTATTACATCGAGCTAATGCGCCCCTATCCATCCTACCAATGTCAGTACTTCCTAGCAACCTTCCTATACCAGGTCATTAGCACTGAACGACCCTGTCCCACAAGATCTTGTACTTCTCACCTCTATCCTTCCTAAACTGCTATGTTTATATAGTTTGAGTTCCTATGTAACTCAAGCTGTCTCTCTGGAATCCTTTCCTTCCTGATATTCGACACGCATAATCAGTTTTCTCTTTCAAATCTCTCTTCTTTAAACACCTATTCATTTCCCAATCCGACTGATTACGAAATATGCGTAAAAGGACTATTTAAGTATCTCCAAAGACTATTTCTGTTTACTTATGTAATTTTAGTTTCCTATGTTTATTTTATATATATGAATGCTTTTCTTTTTCCTCTCTCTCTTGCTTACTGTATTTTTATTTTATTAAACTATTAAGCAGCAAGTGTCATGGCCACAATTTCAGTATAACTTTTATGTCGCTCTGTTATTGTTACTTTGTTATCTGTATAATAGGTAAGACCCTGTGGTAATACTTTACCAACAGTGAGTTTATAAACAGTTGAACATTTTTACCATGACGAATACAGGTGAATTACGATTTATTAACAATGAACATGTGCTAAATTGGTGCTCGTTTGGATAGCCCAAGTGGCCGTTAATTCCCTTGCCCTTTAATTCTTATCTTACTTACGTTAAGTTCATGGCCAAGGTTTGAATATTAGCTCTCTCTTATCAGCTGGTCTCAGTTCGAAACCAAAGACTTATAGAATTTTGTTTTTCCTCCCAGAGTTTTGTTTTATTTTATTTTTCTCAGAATGTTTTGTTTTATTTCTGTTTCTATGTTTGTAAATAGTTTATTATTTTTTAAACAATTTATGGTACTAGTTCACAAGAGTGTTGCACGGATTACGCATGGTTCACAATCACTTCGGTCACACTTGTTCATGGAATCCCGAAAGCGTTCGGGTTTATCCGAAAGAGAAGGAAGGCGACTGATCTCTTGGGTCAGTTACTCTTAACTTACCCGCCATTTAAGTACTTCTATTTTTTTACATAACACTAACATATAACCAAAAAGGTTCAGTCTTGTCTCAAATGAACTCTTGTATAAACAGAATCAGCAATCAGATACTATTTTAATAGAGGCTTCATTAATGTAATAAAAGTTTCTAAAAATTAAGAAACCGCTAGACATAATTATATGACATTTAGAAGAAACAGAACATTCTCTGCTGTACAGGAGGTATACATGGAAGATACTATGCACTAGTTTTAGGAATTCCTGTGACAAATCAACCGCAATATATCTAAATTTTTTTCCATTTCATCTTGGTCACTGTTTTCAAATATGTATTGCTTTCCTTCAATAGGATTCAATTCATTTGTTTCACATTTTTTAACCATATTATTGGTTGGATTAGAAAAATATTGTGATTCAACCATTATTTTTGCACTACTCCCAGAAACATTAGTGGATTTCGATGGATAAATAAAGTCCTTAAAGTTTAATTCTGAAACCCCTCCATTTAGATGATCTCTCAACTTCTTAAGACCAACATAAAATGGTAATTTGTCTGATGGACTAGGATAACATGCAGATCTAGCACTTGAGGAAGGCATTACCCAAATGTAAATGTTAGTCCCTTCAATAAATTCATGCTGAACACCATAATTAAATTGTTTTTTACCAGAAAATATTTCATAAATTATTTTCCCATTAAATACAGCTATTTTCGGCCTAAACATTTGCAATTTCTTCAACAAAACTTTGCACCCCTCAACAATCTCTTGTTTATTCAAATCGACACTACTTTTACTGGTCCTTTCAACTACATTTGTAAATCCTATACCAAACTCAACCAGTTTAAAATCATCATTGTATGACATTTCTTTAGCTGTTAATCCAGATGAGTTGAGGCATTTCCAGAAGTGGTTGCTTGGCCCTGCATAATGATGGCCTTTATAAGCCGAGTTCAAACCAGGGTTTATTCCAATTATGACAATGTCTAGATTTGGAGCTAATAAATCTGGAAGTGTTTTTGCTAAAATTTCTTCTTCTGTAACTCCATTGAAACAACTACGCTTCTTAATCTTCTTACTTTTCACACCTGTTTTATGAACAACGTTCATTACTAAAAACAAGAAAAGTAAATTTTCTAATACAATATTCTGAAATAAAAATTAAAATAATATAGAAACAATCAAGAAACAATAAGAACAAACAAAACTATCAACTGTAAATATTTTTGAATGACACATAAAGGCTGAAAGTTTCAGCTTGAAACAGCTAGTGAGAGTTCGTGTATGCATCAGTCAAAAACGATGTGAGAAATAATTAGTGGAACTACGAAAAAATATAGTAATACACTGGTGAATTTAAGGAACGGCTTTCGGGATAAGACCCTCAAAATGGAAAAATAATCCATATTTTTCATTGTTTCATGTCTTTTTCGGTTTGGGATCTAAGTTCAATACTTAATTAATCAGTTAAACAATTCAAGCAGGTGGTTTTTTTAAATAATAATGTATATACAGCTACTAAATGTAAGCACATGTCAAGAAACCTTATAAAAAGTTTATCTCTACAAGGATTAATGTTCATTCCAAATTCTCTTCTGGGTTTTCATTCAGTTGTTGGCTGATTTTTTTTTTTTTCGATTGCCTCCTACCTCGTCATTGCTGACCTCCGGGGTGGTTGTTTTAGAGATACGAATAAACCTATTCTAACCAGAGTATGGAGGTCGAGATACATTCCGTGGGTCCGCCAGGAAATTAATTCCAACACCCTTAGACCAGATTAAAACCGGCTTCTCTAGATTCAAGAAAGTAAAAGTTTATGCTTTAACACGCTCGACCTGTGAATGTCACGACCATCGCATAGATTGAGTGCCTAGGTCGAAAACATACTAAGCATTCTTCTCACTCCCTTCTAAATCGGCCAAGGCTTATTTTCGTATGTTTGGATGTTATAATTAGTAAATTAAGACATACCTTCGAATTTTCTCCTATCACTAATAAATATCGAATCTTTATGTAATTATAACAGCAACCGTAGTTAAAATAATAATTTCTACTTAAGAATTTATTGTTATTAAAGCAGCCATTCATTATTAAGGGCCGCTGTGGTAGAACTAGTTAAGGCGCCTGCAAAAATTTTATATCAAGTGTTCAAATCCCGTTCGCGGGCACTAATAACACAAAATCAAATTAATAAGTGCAGGTTCTACTCGAAGACCCCACCCATAAATTCTTAGAGAGATGAGCGACCCCTGTGTCTTACATCATAGCTCCTGGCCTAGTCTTCCAGGTTAGAGGTTGGATATAGGGCTGATAATTCTCTATCTCATAAAAAAAAAAAATTGGTTTAAGATAAAGCTGCAAAAGATTGCAAACCATTCTTCATGAAAGTTCCTGATGAAGAGGGAATGAATTGTGATCGCGTCCGGTTAGTAACCACGTTCTTCTTGGATATCTCGAAGAAGAGAGAACCAAACGATCACTACTGTCGCCTATAAGCTGCTAAAGAAGACCCATGACGAAAAGTCTAAGTCAACCGGCATAAGAAGAAGAAAAAACAAAACTTATCGTCTATCAGTGTCAAGGGCGTAGCAACGTAGGAAAAATTTGACCTAACCCTGAGGCTTTTAAGGAATCACCGATTCTCTAGGTTTGATTTTTTTACCCCCTAGAAATATACCAGAGGGTTCACTATAAGAACAATAATTTTATAATAAAATGAGATGGAAATAGTAAGTAGTAGATTTCAGGACAAATATAGTTTTATACTTCGGAAATATCTGAGAAGTCGAATGACGTAAGATGCGGATTCTGCTTCCGGTTTTCATTATGATACCAGTCATTCAAGTTGGAATCTACCATACATCGTAATATTCCGCAGGGCCAATCGTAAATCCGGAAACCAAAACTTTCCGAACTTCCTTAAACATTGGATCCATTTATTTTTCAGTTTTAGTAAATTAATTGAGCCTAGAAAATATCCTTGATCTTCAACTTTTTGCTGTAGTGATTAATGAATTGTGAATTACAAAAATTATAGTTATATGTGATCTTTCTGCCCCAATGAGGCAGTATCTCATTCCAGATTCAGTAGTTCTTGCTACGTCACTGTGTAAAGTCTAAAAAAAATGAAAATGGATGAATCAGAAAGTGGAATGCAAGTAGAAACATCTCAGTTTTCATGAATATTATATATATTTGTACTATTTTTGTCACCGGCTTGAAGCACCTCTTCATTCCATGCGACCTTCCTGGTGGTAGTGACACCTCACCCGAAAATGTCTTTGCAAAGGTGCAGAGAATGACAGGAATTGTTTTCATAGAACATATTCTTTTTTTTTCTTCTGCCATAGTCATTGGTCATTCGACCATCCGACATCTTGCTGCCCAATATAAGTTTGATGTTTTTTAAATAATCATTCACAAATATTTTATTTCTTATGTCCGTCAAAGCAGGACATTTTTGCTTGTTCGCATAATTTACACCTAGGCCAGGTTCAGTCACGCCTATCTTTTGGAGATGACTTTGTAGATATTCGTGACCAGTGGCCAGGTGGAAGCAGGCTACTGCATCTCTTCTTGGTAGGTCAGCTGGGATCCGGTTTTCCACCAAACATCCATAACGTCTCCCTTCCACCTTGTCTTTGTGTATATTTTTTGTTTCCTCCGTCACTAACATCCTCATCACTAACATCCTCACCATTAGTCGGATTGAATCGTAAGATTTTGGATGGACTGTTTGAGGCAATTCTGCTCCTCTCCTCGCGGTACTATCTTATTCCTCATTTCCTGGAATACCACAATGGCTCGGAATACACTGTAAGACCACATTGGTGCCTCGGAGTGTTAGATTGTAGAGGAGGGATTTGCACTCCAAGATAGCACTAGACATACATTTATTCACGTCAGTAATGGCGAGGATTGCTGCTTGCGAGTCGACAAAGAGAACAGCTTTCTGAACTTGCCTTCCTGATAGTGTTCTTAGAGCTATGAGGATCGCTGCTGCTAACTCACCGTCAAAATTCGTACCATCCTCACCCACCGCAGCACTGAACTGAAACTCTATCGAGTAAATTCCTACCCTAGCATTTTTAACGGCTGATGCAGCTGATCCGTTGGTATAAATGTGAAGCCAATCTGAGGAGGGTACTTTTGAGCTATAGTTTCTAGTGCTATTGCTTTTAACTCATAGTCTGGTGTTTCTTTTTTATCCACCTTACGGAGGAGTTGCAGCTCTACCCTGCTTGCGTGATTGTGGATTGGAAACTGTGCCTGTATAAATAGCTCCCTTTCTTCACAGTCCAGCTCTCTTTCTTTAAGCAAAGCCTTCCCCTTTAGCATTAAAGACTCTTGTGTCTTGAGCCGTTGAGTTGGGATTTTGTGTTTTTTCCAAAACTCTGGGTTCCTTCTTCTCATTCGCTTGTGAACACACATTGCAGCTTGCTCACGCCGATTCGAAATGCGGTTGTGCTGTGGTTTGCAGTTTCATAGCTGCAACGCGGTGCGCCCAAAATTAAAGACAGTACTTTGTTCTACTTACTGTCTAGTCTTTTCAGGGATGCATCAGCCGCAGTACAGATGACTTCAGAACCATATTCCAGTACTGAGCGTACATTGGTTTTACATGCAAGACCCATCACATCCTGGATAGCCCCCATGTCTTACCTCCACGGCCTTTTAGAAGCTCAAGCCTGTTTTCTTCCTTTTCCACCATATCTTCAATTTGTCTGTTAAAATTCATTTTGGTGTCTAACCCAGGTATTTGACTGCATAGGTTTTGGAAAGAGAACATTATTATAAATGATTTTCAGCTCCTGCAATTTGGTTGATAATGTGAACAGTTGATAGTCAGTTTTCTGGTTGTTCACTTCCATTTCATTTAACATGGTCTAAGTAAAAAGTCTTGTCATTGCCTCCTTAATTGCTGCTTCGAGTGCTGTTATGTTGCTACTAGTGGTAGATCATCAGCAAACAACAAAGCAGATATTCTCTGGGTATTCCCTTGAGCACAGCCACTAAGTTATCTATCATTACATTAAAAAGTGTTAGGCTCAAAACAGATCCTTGGGGAAGTCCCTGGCGAAAAGATCTGAAGCTTAAAAACCAGCCATTGTATCTTACTCGGAAAAATCTATGGGCCAAGAAGGACCATATGGCTCTGTACATTTTTCCACTAATATTCATTTTGAGAAGCTTTTTAGGATTTTCCGGCAGACTTTGTCGAAAGCAGCTTTAAAATCAACATATACTGCAAGTGTGCATGCAGGATTATTTGATGACTCATATTAGGGGAATATGAAAAAAGGAGCCCACTCTGCAACAATGATGACCACCTGGAGACATACCTTGCCTTGGAAAACAGGAAGAAAAGTGCCAATGACAATCTTTGTAGAAGTATTTCTAACCTTTACTGGGCAAGTCTATGGCTAATAAGCCTCCATGACTTTGCATACACTAAGTTAATTAAAACTCCTATGCAATGCTTAACGTACACCCTGTATTTTGAAAATCATAGTAAAGACTTTTCTTTTCTTTGGATAGCAGACATACCATTGTTTTAAACAGAGTATTTAATATGGATAATAAGTGCTGAGTAGTCGGTTGTCATGTTCTTACATTTATCAAACAGTTTTGATAAAAACTAACAATAAATTTTTTTCAGACATGTTCTCCTCATAAATATATAATTAGATCCAACTATCTTAGTTTCATTTAATATAAAAGGATTCCTCCCTACCCCCTAATCAGTTTGCTATTAACAATAATGACATTCCTCTTCTGATCCATCTCTCCCAATACCATAACTACGCAGCTGATTTCAAAATATACCTGTCCTTCCTGCCTTCTATTAGCCACAAAAAAACTTCAAGAGGACTTTAATAGAATCTGTGACTGGGCAGAAGCTAATGAATTGAAGTTGAATGCGGAGAAGATGAAAACAATTTTAATTATTTTAAACTGTTCATAATATTACAATCCTGTTCCTTCATGATAATCTCATCAAATTTTATTCTATCATTAAAAACCTTGTAATTACCTTTGATCAAATCCTTTCCTGCAAAAATCATGTTTCTAATACCTCCTACCATGCTTTTTCCACTTTGAAATGTCTAAATTAACTTTAAAGAAACTTTTGTGGGCCAGTTGTAGATGCTGACAGGACGATTGCGGCCCACAGATCATAGGTTGGAGACCTCTATTCTAAATGAACTTGTCCCAGAATAAATAAATTGTTATTATTATTATAAAGTGTAACTGGTTCCAATCAAAATGTAACATAATCGATGCGAACACAATATGTCTTGATACCAATAACTAGACTTCTGCTTCAGTAGGATTTTAGTCTATTGATGTTTTATTTTGAATAGAAAGTCACAACCAAAACATTTATAGTGATTCAAAATCAAGTATAACAGAACTTTCAGAAAGAGTGTATGATGGTGCAAGGTCAGGATCAATGAGGATGAAAACTTATTGAAATAAAATAATAGCTATGAAGAAAGTCATTTCTTAGCTTAGCACAATGAAGGAGAAAGAAAAGAATATATAAATATTTTATTAACAAGGTGGTATAAATTATAAAAAAATACTATAAATAATACTGAATCAACAAAGATAACAAACATATTATTCTTCGTGTATACCCAGTCGTCGAAAGTACCTCTCTTTGTTCCAGTGAATATCATCATAAGCAACTTGTTCCTTAGTCGAATGAACACAATGTACTGCAGTGCCATCAGGATATGTCACTCCCGGAAGTAACTAAAATAAAAATATAATTAATATAAGGGAGAAGAAAACTCGATATGAGGTAAAAAGTACATGTTAGGTTATAATAGGAAAAATCAAACCACACAGCTTTGTGTCTCTACAATGCAGGTAAAAAATAAAAATAACCCATCAACGTTTCACCAATTCAGGCACCATCAAGACAAAAAAAGGATCATATCACTCCATGAAATCCTCTAGTTTAGTATGTAGTAATGTTTTTTCTTTCCTGATAATACCTGAATTGTTGTAAGTCATTCTGTCATCTGAAAGGTACACATAGCTCAGAGATTGAAGTTATGTGGTTTACGGAGTAACTAGATTTTTATGGTCTACCAGTGAAATAATAAATAGAGTTTTTGTTAGGCTAATGGTCTTAATGGTTTGCTGTCTGTAAGCTTTAAGTTTTAGCTCAATTTAAAATGTATTTCTAAAATTTTATAATAGCCCAACATTGCCAGAATTCAAGTATTCAAAGTAGAGCGATAGGTGAAAGTTGTGTGTTGCGCGCACAAGATTTTTAAAGATATAAATAGCAAACAAAACTAGAAAACATTATTTTTATTAATTTTTTAAATAGCGAAAATAAGCTGAACTGTTATTAAATAAAATAATTTAAATATTATCAAACAAAATATTCATCACATATCTATAATAAGGAGGTCCAGAGGATTAGCTAAAATTATATTAGTAAGTTGGAACTTGGATCTATGACTTGGTGCATAGGAGCTCTCTTGGTGATTTAAATGAATGATATTAATTATTTCGCCAAAATTAGAGGTAAAAAAGTATAATAAAAAATTTTAACTTACTGTAGGAGTCACGAGGAAGTATTGTGCTGTATCACAGGTTGAAATGGAATTCATTATGAGATGGTATACTCTCTTTTCATTTATCTCATCCATACCCTTCGAAAAAATATACATTAACTTTAGAGCTCATAGAAATTTAAACAAAAATAATCACATTTCATAAGTTTCATGAAACATCAAAATCAATATTTAAAAAAAAAAAAAGAAGAGAATTAAATTTAAAATAATAAATAAAATTAAAGAATTTGAACAAGTTATTTTTGGGAACTAGCAGCCCAATTCGAAAAGGTATTTTTGCTTTACACAGGATGTTTATTTAGAAAGGATTTAAGCTTTATTACGTTATCCAACAACTAATAATAATGGAGTGGTAAACAACAATCTGTAAAACAGTAGGAAATTACACACGATAGATTTCTCATTAAGTATCATTTACAGTCCATATAAATAAAATGCAGGGACAAAGGTTTAAGCATATTAGAGTTTACCTAAGAGAAGACTGTTTTTACCATAGACAACTGTATGTTGCCCTATCCAGATCAGGTTTCGGAGAAAATCAGTCGATACTTATACCATGGGGACAAAGAAAATATAGTTTACTAAGAAGTACAGTAAATTTTCTTTAAATAGATTAAAATGTACAGTTCGCAAAAAAAAAATGTTAGTATAAAGCTATCAAATTGAAGATGCTTTCTGTCACTTATTGATTTTCTACTGTCTTTTGTAGATGAAGACATACTCATTATGTTTTTGAAACATACATGAATAAAGTTACGTTTACATATCTTACATATTATTTCTAAAAGGTGTTTTTTTGTCGCGATGCCATAACTTTGTCAATTTTTCATCAAATCCAACAGTTGAGCAGTGATATTAGAGATCTTCAGGTGGGAAAAATAGTCACATTCCCTGAAATTTGAGGGAAAAGAATCTTTATTTGCGAATAACTCAAAAAGTATGCATATTTTTCGCGATTGTACCCATGATAATTACAAAGATTACTAAATTACATAAAAAAGAAAAAAAAATGTTAAATTTGGACGATCATAGTCCATTACTTTTGGTTTACTTAATAATTTCTTCCTCTTTAAAGATACTTAATGTACTATTCTTTTACCCTTTTTTTCCTGGCTGATATATACTTTATCATTTCTTAAAGGCATATTTTTGTTTGTACATATTATATTGTTTAATAACTTAGAAAAACTCATGATTGAGGCTTTATTTTGAATGTTACCTTTCCAGTCAGCTTTTAAAAATAGGCTTTAGCAAAGCAATTTATACAAATAATTTGGTCTATTATGTTACATACGATATTTTAATCAACTGCAGAAATACAATTAATTCCTCCCTCATATAATATATAGGATTTACTTATTTCCATATTGTTTTGCTATTCCTTCACTAAACAAAATCATTCGTACGGGCCCAACCAGCTTCATATACTACGTAAAACACAAACGTCTAAATAGGTTGTTTCCCAGACTTGAGTTTTTTCCTGTTTATGCAATTTCCATCTGCTGTCAGAAATTATCCCACGGTATTCAAGGGAGTTTGGATTACTGTTATTGTCCCTTGAGAGATCTTGAAATAAATGGTTCCTGGTACGATTTAAATTAATTCCTTTATAGAAAATGGCCTTTGATGAATTTTTCATGACTTCTTTAATATTCTTTTTAAAATTATAATATAATAGGGCAAATTTGATAACCAACTTCCGCCATGTTTGTTTCTCAGAAAATACAAAAATATCCTGAGGGACCCCATTTGATGACCCGTAGTTTTACATTCATTTTCACATATTTTTTCAGGTTGAAAAAAAAAGTAATGGTATTATTTTTTTGTATTGTTTCTAAGAAATGGAATGATGACATTAAAATTAATCTAGTTTAACTACAAGAAGAAATATCTCAATGCAAATGTAAAAAAACTGTAACGAATGTTACTGTCCACAAAATTTTGAGAAAAACATCGTAACCAAGGGCTTTTCTTACAATACTATTCATTTAATATGACAGAAAATGGTTTTAAATAACCTGTTTGTGGTGCTGGCTATTAGTCCATATGTAATCTTAAGGCATGAAAGAGCTGACTGGAGACTATACATTTTTTCTTATAAAACATGCTATGACACAAAAAATTATGTGTAACGAATATTACTATTATTTTAATTAACATTGTTCAATTAACGTGATGGAGAATAATTGCAAAATCAGTAGTTTAGAGGCATTTATCTAGGGTTAAAGTTTTATATCTATCCAAATTTGGTTAAATCAGTAACAACGATTTGGTATGAAAACTTAACAAATGTTACTATTAATCGTATGATTTTATATCATTTATTTTAATTGTTCCTACTCCAATTAATCAAATCAGTATTTTTATTATAAACCTTTAGAGAACCGGAAGAGGATTTTAGTTTTTTTTTCTTATAAGCATTGATGAAAGCAACGAAAATTATGTTTTTTTTGTTGTTTTTTTTCTCAAATCCTCAATGCTTCTTACTTTGTCACAAACAAAATCATCCATAACGACCTTAATGTTCCTTATGTTTCTGACCTGGCCCAATCCAGATATCTATCCTTCCATAATAAACTTCAGAACCATCCAAACCCTCTCGTTTCTAACCTTGCTTCCTCTTTGATCCCTGACAACCCTCAGAGACATCTGAAAAGAAGATGGCCTCGAGATCTCCTTTTGTAAATACATTTTTAGAGTGCTACCAATGGGTAGTTTCTCAACATGTGATTTCATGCTATTTTATTCCTTTGTTCACATTCACTGAATGTATTTTTACTTGTAATACAGTTGTAAATATCATCAATAAAAAAAAAAAAAAAAAAAAAAATTTCTCATGTTGGTTTGAAATATTTATGGTTTACTTACATCTTTATTATATTCATGGCCATTAGATCTTCCCAATATACTAATAAAGTTTGTTTATTTAAACTGGTTGAAGAAAATCATCCTCGTTTAATAATTTTTAAGTCTATATTACGTAACGGTTTAAAAAAAAAAAAAAAATTAAAAAAGAAAACTAATACTGAGAAAACTGACTATCGAAGCTTAAGTTAGTTATTTAGTACATCTATACTAATATTTGAGATAATTTTTCTTCAAAAAGTTGATATTTTTTTAACCTGAATTCAGAAATACTAAATGGTCAATTAATAAAAGAATGACCCGTATGTGCTTTTCAAATGTCTAAACTCGGCTTGATACAAATGTGGCGAAATTTCATGATGAAATAGTTATAACTATTTATTAGCAAAGAATCCTCAAAACATATTTACCTGATTGATTTCATCGACACATCTAAAAGGCACCTTGCTAATAGTTTGTAGCGACAAGAGGAAAACTGCAGTTGTCAGCGCCCTCTCACCACCGCTCTGTGTATACGAATCTAATGCCTGAAGCTCATATTCATTTCGAAACTTCACTTTTATCATTAGACCATAATTTTCATATTGTGACTGTATAAACATAAGGAAAAAAAAGCATTATCAAATTTTTCTAATTAAACAAATTGAAATTTTTGATCTATGAGATAAGTTAAGAATTAATCATTACATACTTACACTGAATATCATTTATAACATCGGTTGTAACAACATTAAATGACTCATTTAAAAATGAAATCAGCTACGTATACAATGTCAGAAACAAAGCCAAGTACTTAGAACCTACATTTAACAAGATTCGGGAAACGGAAATTGAGCTACATGGTTCTCTATCTGTTCAACCGAATACCAGAAGATCTGTTAAGCAGACCTAACTAAAAAAGAAATCTTTCATTGGATACTTTCTCATGTATAAGTTTCAGTCACCTCTAATTCTATGGACCAAATACTGTGATTTTTCTTTTTCCTTACTTTATCGTGTTTATTTTCTTCTACTGGTCACTCTAATTATTGATATACGACATATAATTCTCTGATTATAAACTTCTATTCCTTCTAATTATTATTGTTGTTCATATGCTTCTTTTCATATTTATTAATTAATTACTTTATTATTATCTTATAAATTATTACCGCTATGTACTAATACCTATACATAATCGTAATTATCATTTATATTTTATATTAAATTATACAGGATGTTCAGAATTAAGTGGCCAAACTGCAAAAAATGAACTAAGGGCCTCAAAACAAGAAAAATATTCCTCTGAAAGTATGTCCGCAAATACTTTGCTTAGTAGATATTCACACCTAATATGCCAGGCGATTTCCAAATAGAAGATTACCAAACAAGTCTATCTTTACCTCCACGTTTCAACGTCTTAGAGAAACTAGTAAATTTACTATAATACCACGTGCTGATGGTATTTTTGCCCCTTTCACTTTGAAGAACATTTAATATGAATTTAATGTTTACATTAATAAAGTAGTTGGAACAAATAAATATGTTTTATTTACTTAATATAACATAAATAATTCATAGCAATGAAAATCTTCTAAACAAAGCGTTTGCGGACATACCTTCAGAGGAATTTTTTTTCTTGTTTTGAGGTCCTTAATTAATATTTTCAGTTTGGCCACTTAAATCTGAAACACCCTGTATAATCTTATAGATCTCGAATTCTGACACTTAGAAGTCAATATATATTATATTACATTATCATTATGTTAGAATTGTATTATAATGAAATTAATAGAAAAAAAAATTGTAACCATGTAAAAATTAATTACTTATTATAAATGGCACCGACCGATAGATGTTGCTATCTGGTCGGACCAAATTGTAATTATTGATTAATAAACTCTAAAAAAAAAAAAAAAAACTATCGTCTAAAATGTCTAATCAAATGATTCATGAGCCTATTGTTACATACTTTTATTGGATATAACGACCCCTGTTATCGACATAACGACTTGATTTCTTCTGATTTTTATAAATGAAATATGATAGGATATAGCGATAGTCCTCTCTAATAACTCCTAAATACTTTGTGTAAACATATCTTTTCAAGGAAATCCATTACTTTATTCTCCCTCAGTGTACACATCACAATTCTTGAAAATTTCAAGTTCATCAATGTTACTTTTTCATCATTCAATATGAATTGTGCCTTCCAAGCATTGAAAAAAAATTACTAAAAACAGCTGATCATTGGACATGATCAAAAATTAAACCTAATATGAAAAATCTAGATGAGATCATAGCGATATATAAAATCATTTAGCAATGAAAAGTTCAAGATGCTTCAATTCAAAACAAAATCAACTAAAAAATTTATGAAAGGATGACGGTGAAGAGGGCATTGCACACAGCCGCAATTGTATTTTTTCAAAACAAATGCGCAAAAAAAAATCTAATGATGAAAGAAATGGAAGAACTAGAAAAAATATACATGAGAAAAAGTGTACATCTATTTTATATGATTTAAAAGGACACACAATAAAATAGGCAATTTATAGGGAAGGTCTACACTATAGGCTTATGAATTATTTACACAGAGAAGATGGAAAATGAAAAGAATAAATAATAAAATGAAAATTGTTAACATATATCCATAAGAATCCACTGCCCCAATAGTAATTATTAACAAACTTATAAGTTTTTCGAATTTATGGGGTTTTCTCATTTCACTGTTTATATGAAATAAAGAATTGTTTAAGTCCATTTTGCTTAAATTTTGTACATTTGTACAGCATATAGCAACCACTTGCCTTTATAAACAGCCTGAGAATGATAATAGCAATGATTTTTGTTATAACTTAGATGTTTTTATGATGACAATTGGCTATAATGATGGAATTAACATGGTTCCTTCGATGTCATTATAGACGATATTCAGTGTACACTTATAACAATTAACAACATGACTAAATTATCACAAATGTTTCTAAATTGAAACAGAAAACTAACTATGAAGTAAGATACTCTTACACTTACAGGATTAGAACCCTGGTCGAGCTGGACAGCACCAGCACAACCCATTGCTGCAAAAAATGCTCCAAATTTATCATTAATGTCTTCGATAAGATCTTGTAGCTTGGGCAACCAAGTTGAAAGCAATTCGGATGCTTTGGATACGATTCCTGAATGATTAGCTTTCAACTTTGTCACTTCCTTTTCTAATTGTGCCATCTGTTTCAAGCTGGCTTCATATTCTTCGATAACCTTAAATAGACAACAAAAAAAGGAATCAATACAAATATGATAAATATATATGATAATTCAAAATAATTAAATACAATTTTTTTTTTGGCATTAGAGACCTTGTAGATCTTCTACTGTCTTAATAAGCCTGCCCCACCCATGTTAACCTTCATGCCTTCATATCATGGGATATTGATTGACCAGAATAAAGAACTACTTACAGAATGTAAGCAGTTCTTTATTGTTCTTTCTTCTCCACATATTAGTATTCTGATTCCAGATCACTCCGGTTATCATGCAAAAATTTTTTCTCTCAAATCTTTCAATATTTTTTTCTAGAGTGCTGGTTGGTGCCCAGGTCTCACAGCCATTTATTAGAACTGGCATATCATAGCATTTTACATCCTTAATTTGAGATTTTTCAGTATTTCAATATCTTTGAAAGGAAGAGGAAAGCTCTGTTTGCGCTAGTTATACACTGGTCTATTTCTGACCATTAGTCATTCATTAAGGTTATTGTGGTTTCCTTGATTATTGAGAAGTTTCTGGAAATGTTCTTTCCAGATGCTCAATATTTTTTCTTTAGATGCCGTCAGAATGCCATCTTTTCCTCGCATTTTCATATTTATTGCTTTATACTCTACCTTTTCTTGCCAAATATCTGCATAGAATTCCTGTATATCTACAGCCTGCCAGTTGTCCTCAATGGTTTGAAATCATTGTTTGAGGAATTCCTTTTTTGTTGATCATATAATTTTGTTTATCTTTTTCTTGGTAGCTGTGTACTTGTCGTGAGCAACTCAGTTGTAGCTAGGCGGAGGACATTTCTTTTTCTTCTTTCCTCTACAGCCTTTTCGCATGGTTCTGGGAACCGTCTTTTAGCTTTTCGTTTCTCCTGAATACCCATCATTTTCTTGGCTGTTTCTTTAATTCTTTCTCAATTTCCTCCCAGTGTTAGTCCATCATGAGGCTCTGCCAATTCAAGGGTTCAAATTTATTTTTCATCTCAGATTAGAATTTAATTTTTCCATCAGGATTTTTCAAATTGCGTACTTTTTACCTTTTTCTTTCCACTCGTTCCCCCATTTTATAAATTCGCTTCAATCTCTAACATAATTTAATTCTTATCATAGAGTGATCCGAATCACAATCTGCTCCACGATAGCGTTTTATTGTTGAGCTCTGATGTCTCTTGTCTATCAGCACTTGATCAATTTGGTTTTTCGCTTCTTTGGAACTAATCCAGGTGTACTTCTGGATTTCCTTGTGTAGGAACATTGTACAACTGACAACTAGACTTTTAGCTACTGCCACACTGATACATCTCACTCCATTGTCATTGCTATTTTTGTGAAGGCTTTGACCTCCGATAATGGGTCTGAATTGGGGTTCTCATCCTATCTTTATATTGAAGTCACCTATGGCAAATTTTACGTCATATATATCAGTTTGGTCCACAATATTTTCCCACTGATCACAGAATCATCCTTCACCTCTTCATATTTATCTTCGATTAGTGCATACATGTTAATTATCATGATATTAAACCAATGACCTTTAACTAGTAACACTAATCCTTTAGTTTATCACTATAACTTTACTAAGGAAGTTTATGATTGATTTTCTTGCCGCTGGACTAACTATCAATCCCATTCCAGCAGTTGAATTTTTATCGTTTCTCCTGGAGTAGAATAATGTATGGTCGTCGATAATTGTTTCGCCACAATCTGGCCATCTTCCCACATGAATGCCTGTTGATATGTTCCTTTTTAGTTCTTTAACTACCATTTTAGCGGCTCCTGGTCTGTATAAACTATGTACGTTCCTAGATGTAGTCTTGATTCAAAACCGATGTCGTCACCATGTTTAGACAGTCCGATTTTCCAAAGCTTCGTTTTTGTTTCGTAAAAAGGTGTTTTTTTCCAGGATAGGGTTATTAGCCCTATACCCAACCCCCAAACTGGAGGAACAGGAGCCATCATGTAAGACACAGAACAAGGAAGCTCGCTCACATCGCTGTGAATCTTTAGGTAGGGGCGTTACCTTTCCCATGCGGGAATCGAACCCATGCCGTAGTGGTCGAAGTAATCGGGTAGTGCTTCCAATATATACATATATTTTTTTATTTATTACTAATTATTATTAGATTTTATCTTTTTTGTTCCTGCGATCGGGACTTGAACTCATGACTTTTGGTTTTGAATAAAAATCGAAACAAAAAGCCTCTACATGTTGAGTGTATTTTTGCAGGCGCCTTACTTAACTATCTCATCCACGGCCTCCTCTGCTTCTCCCCAATTAATTATATTAATTAAATATCAAATATTCTATGTAAATATTAGCCTTCAGTTAATGAAAATGAATTTTCATTATATGATATTTCTGTTTATTAAGTCCACATAGGACAGTTAAATAGTCATAAATTTAATAATAAATGAAACCAATAATATATTAATGATGTTACTTAATGTACTGGGTATCCCATAACTAAAGTAAAATATTTAAAGGGGTGATGGCAGACCTCAACAGCTACAAGAAGTTTATATAAACAATAGTATGAAAAAAGTAGGCAATATAAGTGTCATATTTTTGTTTAATAAGAAGTAATAACTAAAAAAAAATTTCATTAAGGCAATTAACAATTGCTTTTCAGTGAACTTGAAAAAAATTACATTAAATACGAGTACAGTTTGTGTTTGTTAAAAACATTTAAAGGGGATTTTTAAGTGGCTAAACTATTTTAAGTTCTTTTTTAAAATGTCATTGATTATTCATTAATGTGTGTGCATCTCATAATAATAGAAACTCAAATCTTTTTTAAAAGTTTTTCTTAAACAGTAAGATGATTCATTATTTTTTAAGAATAATTTAATTTTGTGCCTTTTTTTCTTGTCAATGTTATACCTCTTAGAGAAGTTAGCCAATTTTTCAAGTTTTCCAAATATTTTAAAATTTCTAACTTTTTACTTAACATTGTCCTGATATGTTTTCATCGACATGATATCGAACTGTTTTTGTACTATAACTATACATTATAATTATGACAACACATTAGATTTGTGAAATACAGTCTCTGCTATAACAGCTAACCAAGCAGCGCTCTCATAATGTTGCATTATTAGATACCAACCCATAATAATGAATGTACTGTATCATAAAAATAAAATAATAATAATAAAAATAAATAAACAATTGTGAAGCTGGAAGATTTTTTTTGTTTTTACTATTTAATGTCATTAATTAGTATATACCTACGATATTATGATTAAGATGTCTGGTGAAAGTGAAATAAATAAATAATATTGTTACAACTCACATTGCTACCAACAATTCCTTGAAGGCACTTGGCCATTGCCTCCGTTTCGATGAGATGTTCCTGAAGTGAATTCCTGTCTCCTGGTAACTTCCGGAAAAGAGGATTGTATTTTTCTATAAAGGCAGGGTCGTTTGCGTCCAGCCCCTCAGTCATTTCTTTTGCCTTTTGGTGGATAGCCTTTAATTCAGTCTTGATACGAATGCATTCTGCTTTTACTTTTTCAGCTTCATCCTATAAAAAAATATTATAAATAAATAATTTTTATTCTTTATTTGCATATAACGCATTAGAAATATTGGTACACAGAGTGAAACCCTCAGTTGTCGGCATCCCACTCAGTTATCCGCACCGACTACAGTTATTGAGGAACATTAAGCGTTGGGAATGATCTAAAGCTGGAGAAAGGTGTTTGAAGAGGGAATCCCTCTTGCGGTCGCATATACTAGCATCTCCCACAAATTATTTATTTTTATAGGTCGAAAAAGTCGCTGAATATTAGAAACCCGACAGTTGTTACCCAAGAAGAATATGTGATATGGCTATGGCAAGAAACACACATTCCTGCACAGTATCACTGTACTTCTTTCATTTTGAAAGCTGCCATATTTAATTCTTTAGGTTTTCGAAAATTGGGTAAGGAATTAAAATACTTTAGGGTTCCAAAAACTGGAAAAATAGTGACAAAAATTGGCATATACAGATATTTTTCCATTTCACTATTAAAAAAATAATGATGTAGAGTTGGTTGACCGTTGATATGATATGAGAAGGAATTAGTCGAGGGTGCGGTCAAAAAAATAAAAAAAATTAAAATATATAAATAATTTTAATTTTTGCCGACGTTTCGACCCACTTTGCAGGTCGTCTTCAGGGCTACAAAAGATACAAACATGTTGAAAAAATGAAATAAAATAAAAAATAAATATAAGTATATATAAATTACGAAGAAGTTGTCAGATACAGAAATAAAAGATAAAGAAAATAAATACATGATAAGAAAATAGATAAAAGAAAATAAATACATGAATGTTAACGAATAAATGAATGTTAACGAATAAATTGATTGAAAATTGAATAACTTTTTTTACTGTAACAATAGTTATTCAATTTTCAATCAATTTATTCGTTAACATTCATTTATTCGTTAACATTCATGTATTTATTTTCTTTTATCTATTTTCTTATCATGTATTTATTTTCTTTATCTTTTATTTCTGTATCTGACAACTTCTTCGTAATTTATATATACTTATATTTATTTTTTATTTTATTTCATTTTTTCAACATGTTTGTATCTTTTGTAGCCCTGAAGACGACCTGCAAAGTGGGTCGAAACGTCGGCAAAAATTAAAATTATTTATATATTTTAATTTTTTTTATTTTTTTGACCGCACCCTCGACTAATTCCTTCTCATATTAAAAAAATAAATGAAAGACACTGTTTCACATATATATTAGAGATTTTTACTGACTTAACTGGAGCAAAATTGTTGAACCAAGTACCCATGCAATTTAAAATGGGACAAACACATTTTAAAGTTTCCTTAAGGATGCCAAAAAGTGGGAGTTTTACCTTATCTAAAATAAATATGAACAGATACACTTCGTAAATAAAACATCATTAGTCTGCTAAATATAGCCGCGAGTACACTTCACTTCAACACCGTCTGTTAAAACTTGCCCTAATCTTTTAAATCGGCAGAGAAGATTATTATAAGATTTTTTATCTTACGTTTACCATTTGGTTATAAGAGAAAGGAATGAAGGAAAAGAATTTGGAAAAAAAACACAGAAAATACTGAGTACAAGAAAACAAAAATATGCGCTTCAACTTATCCTGATATATAATTTTTAGTTTATGATAGATACAACTATATCGCATATGGCTTGTATTAAACATTTATGAAGACCTATTTAATTTCTGTAATATCATAATTTACTACATGTTAAAAGAAAATAAATAGTACTTTTATAATTTTTACAGAATATAGTAATATATAATTACAATTTTTCACAGCCTTGAAATTAAATATAATGAAAATAATTAACAAATAATTTTTTTTAACCACTTATTTATAGATTTTTTCTATATTTGGGTTCTGAGAAAACTAAATTCATATCATCGACTAAAAGGTACATGTGTATTTTTGATGGTTCTCTATCAACTTGGATATGAACCAAATATTGAATTTATATGACAGGAAGGAAGAAATATTAAAACTATATCACTTTATATTTAATTTTCTTCAAATATCACACATTACTATTATCCACCCTACTCATTGATTCTTACCCTGGCAGCAACAGCAGCGGTCTCCATTTCTTTTGATTCATTCTCTTTTTTTTTGACAAGCGCACTAGTCTGTTGTAATTGTAATCCAAATAATTCATTTGCGACTTTCGATTTCATATACGATGAAATTACTTTAACTGTTTCAGCTTCATTGGAAATTATCTCTTTAACACATCCCTATAAACATTAAAATAAATAAATTAAATTTTTAAAACTTATAAGAGTAGAAGTAATGATTTAAAAAAAAAAAAAAAAATATATATATATATATATATATATATATATATATATATATATATATATATATATACACATAAATATAAACCGCAAACCGAGGTTACTTTGAGATTAGGGGGTGGCAATTGTACTAGAGTTAATTTTGAATATGAAATTACCTGGTGGGCTAAAAGATTTATCCACAATTTATGGATGGTGGATAGTTATAGGAATGGATTGAGGCCAATCTAATAGGCCACGTGAAAATTGATTTTAAACAAAGAGCAAGTGAGGTGACATCGAAAACCATTAGAAGTTGAACCCATAAGACCACCAATAAAAAAAAAAAAAATCAATTTTTCAGTTCTAAGCCTTGAAACTGTCAACATGGCATTCTCTATAGGCCAACAAATATTTCAGATACTGACACGTGTCTATTTTCAGAATTGTTTTCATCAGTTTTTAATTTTTTCTAATTTATGGATACTTTTTCTTTTTAATTCTTTATACATTATGATCAGATTAATGATAAACGTTAATATAGTAATGTTTCATATGATATTTATAGGTTTACCTACATATAGGTAATTTACCTATATTTATTTGGGTAAAATTGCTCCACAACTTGACTTAAGAATATGACTGATCAATTGGAACTAGCTCATGGTGGCCCACACTATAGGCTACAGAGAGTTAAAGAGTTAATGATTAATTATAAAAAATATAGATAACCTCTATGGCCTGTTTAGCTTTAGCTTCTTCCACAGCCGGATCAATTTTTTTCTTCGTAATTTCATCCAATTCTTCTCTCTTAACCCTTAAACGAACACTTGAAGCTTTAAGGTACTCCAGTTGGCGAGAGAATTCACGTTTTTTATTTCTGGTGGTATTCACTTCTACATCGAGGCCCTGTCTCATTTCAGCAACCTCTTTCAGCTGATTTTCAATTCCTTTAGAGTCCTCAAACTTTCTTTGTAGTCTAAAAAAAAATTAACTAGAAAAATAAATTTGAGATGGAAAAATGTTGACTGTTATTTTAAGACTAAGCATCAAAGAGTCAGGATTTGCAGTTTATAGGATATGGTTTAATAGATTTGCTGATGTTTTGACCCAAACATCAGGAATAAAAACGAAAAAGGATGAAAGAAAAAGAAAACTTATAATAAATAAAAGATATAAAGAAGTGAATACAAATTACATTGCATAGGATAAATTGAAATATTAAAAAAAAAAACAGTAATATAGGAGGGTAATGGACTTAGTGACAATACATAAAATACGTATTCAATAAATAAGACTAGAATATGAAAGTAGTGATAAATTATAACATAGGTAAAAATAGTCAGAATAATACATATAAATAGCTAAATAACAATAATAAAATGAATAGAAAATATATGATGTAAAAACTTTCAAAGTTATTAAGTAACAGTGACCAAGTGATAAAATATCGGCAACAATTTAGTGAAATAAACAAAACAAAAAAGGTGTCATATTTTATACTAAGGTTTGTCCTTATTAATTGATCATATCCACAGGCCAGGTGAGAAAAATGCAAGTCTGCCACCACTTAACCGCTGGTATACAAAATGGAGGCCAGGTGAAGATAGATAGAGACCTTGTATAGGTAGTGAACGTTTAATCAGAAGAAGGTATATTGTTGAGATTATAATGTAAGAACCACCATTTAAATAATAATTAAATATTTTGGATCGGCCGTCTCCATAATTTGAACTAGCCAAGGCACACGTTACTTAAGCACTGGTATAGAAGCTTCACTTCAAAAATACTGAAATATATACATTAATTTACAAATATGAGAAATAAAAATGGATTTAATTTCCTTTAAAAAAACTTATAATATTAAGACTTATTCTGAAGCTAAAACAAAAGCAAAATATACAATTAATTAAAAATCTATTCTGATGATAACATAATTATTAAAACAATAATAGAGTACACAATGGAGGTAACTTACTCCTGGCTGCATGCTGTAATCAAATCTTTGTTGAGCGTAAAGGAGAGAAAGTATGAACCACCTACTTCTCCAACTGTCTGTATCTTCTCCCCAGTGTATTTTGATATATTCACTTTATGAAACGATGTTTCTGAAACAAATTCAAGGATAATAGACATGTTCGTACCTTTCCGCAATTTTATTACATATAAGAAAATAATGAATGATGAATATTATTCTAGTTCAATTTTCTTGATTTTAAATTCTATGCAGCTCAAATTATAAAAAGTAAACAAGTTTAAAATATATTATTTACCAAGTGTATCAAAATTTCCCTCTAACAACCTTAAAATCAGGATACCTATGACCTTTAACTTAAAAATGGTTTCTTCTGATCATAAAGATATTTTGAATTAAATTATATTCTATCATTTCTAAAGTAAATATTAAGGAATGTCAAGAGACTATTTTAACATATATCAGTTGTGTAAATACGAAAACAGAAATTTACAGAATCAAATAACTAGTATAGAAAAAACAAATTTACTGCATTAAAATGTTAAAAAATATATTATTCAAAATATTGTCCATGGCTAACTATACATTTTCCCCATCTCTCTACTAAATTATAAATGCCATGCCAATCTTGTTGCAAATCTTTGCCAGCTGTTGAAGAAACAAGATGGCACCAATAATGCTGTTTAAAGTTAACTACATTAACAAATAGAGCCCATTTTGAACGAATTTCGGTTTCCTAATTAATAGTTACACATATGGTAAGACAATGAAAACAGTAAATTTTGAGGGTTATTGAAGGAAGTTAGTCGACTTTTTTATATATCATAGGTGATAAATAGTCTGGACGCAGTAATTTTTTAGGTTTTTATTGATGCCAACGTTTTAACCCAAGCCTGTGGGTCATCATCACGACGTGTTTCGAGCACTGAAAGTGATCAAGTAATAACACCAGTACGCCCTGATGATGAAGAACATGCTTGGGTTGAAACGTCGGCACCAATAAAAACCTTAAATATTATTGCATCCTGAATATTTATCACCAAGTAAATTTTAAGGCTTTAAACACATATCTCAGTACCTTCCATAAGAATTATTCCCGAATCAGGTCTTAATACCTATGTCAAAATCTTCAAAACCAGACCTCTTGTCCCATATCAATCTGAAGTCTTAAGTTTTAAAATCACGTATTTCTTTAACCACTTTTATTGAAATTGTAGTAAGAATTTAAGAATAAAAATTTGGATTCATTACTTCTATACAAAATTCTCTTTCTTTTTATCCTGCATTTGCCAAAATGAATCGCTCCTGGAAGCCAAAAAAGAGAGCTACACGAAGGAATCAATACATAGTAATTTTATAAATTAATAAAAAAAATTTAAATAATTTACCAGTAAAGAATGCTCTTAATTCCTTTGGAATATGGTCAATATAATCCTCGACTTTATTAGAGCCTATTGGAATGTTATGGAGGTTGTAAGAGCTGCACAAATACTTCAATATTACGTCAGGTCCTTCAATCAGGTCTATGAGATAATTTTTGAAACCAAATCGTCTATAGAAGGAAACAAAGCAAAAATTAAAAAAATAGTATATATATTTTTAATAATAGTAATCCTTTAATTTTAATAAAAGACCAGATATCTTTTTATGTTCAATACTTGATTTCAATAATTTGAACATTAAGATATGAGTCTTCCTTTTTTTTAATGTGTGGTGACCAAGCTAAATCTTATAATCTAAAGAGGTGTTTACATATTACCCAAACTATAGCAAGCACAAGCAGATAAATGAAGTTAGCTTGGCTCATACAATTTTTTAACTTTTTTCAGTCAAATCAATCTGTCAGTTCCTAAGCACAAATCAAAGACAGCTTCCAGAAAAAGCTATATAATAGCTAATGTAGATTGAGATCTCAATAGATATTTACTCTCGTGCTCTTTATTTTTAAATATTGTTGTTTTTTATTTTGTATTATAAAAATATAAGTGGTTTAAACAAAACATTTTCCTGAAAAGAAGCATGCAAATACACAATTTTTTTTTTTTGTAATCACAAGTCGTTTATGGCACTAGGGTGTAACGTGGCAATATGGCAAACATGTAAACCCACTTTGAAATATTGTCATAGTGATTTGCTATATATCGTAAGGATTACATTTAAAATATATTTAGTTATTTCTATTACAGAAAAGAGTAGAGTGTAAAAATTTCCAACACATATCACACCAACAAAGGACAAACGCACGCAAAACACCTACACCTGTAAGACCCTAAGGCATGTTTAGAAAAGATCAAACAGCTTGGTGAACAAAGAATGGAGAGATATAAGACTTCACAAAAATAATTTCTCAAGAAATAGGAAACGGCACTATAGCTTTAAGGCGTGGTCATTCCCTCTGCAACAAAAACTTAAGCCAATGGGAAGAAACTTAAAAAAAGGAAGTGGATAACAAAAGTCTGAAATAGAGAGTCTGAAAGAGGCATTCGAGTACAGACAACAGAGAGTGGACAGAGTCAGTCTAGGACAAACAATCTGGAAGCAGAGCAGCCAGGAGAAGAAGAGACATCTAGAGGATGGGGAAACCAAGACCCAGAAAGAAATAGCAAAGAGTCCCAAGATACACACAAATAAGTCATGACATTCATCTAGATATACCTATGTAAAATAGTATTCTGCTAATATAATGATAGTACCGATATGTTTTTGGTTTGTTTAAATTTACAATTAGATTAGTGATTATTCTTGATGTTTTATCAATCTTCCTTGTATGCCATCATTTAGATAAAGATGCAAATAGTAAATTTATAAACATGACACCTTTTGAAAAGATATCCAATGAAAATCATATACAATCTAGGACACTACAGTAGGGAGTCTATGGTACCAAACCCTTAAAGACACAATTCATATACTTGCTTGCTTTCCTTTTCGAGTCAATAGAAATAGAAACATCCCCACATATATTATTACAGTAAGGTTCAAAATCAGTTTTGTACCAAATATAAGCTCCTGTCATACTCAAATACCATGAATGGGGTAATGGAGTATTTTCTTTATAAAATAAATAGTCGATACAAACATTTTTCTAAGCTTCAATACTGGAACGGTGGTAAGTCTGTAGATCAATACGGGACAAATTAGGCTTTGAAGATTTTGATGCGTACAGCAAGGCCCGGAACTATTGGCCGAAGGAACTATCTGAACTATCCGAAGGAGCTACCAGGCCTAACAAACAAAAAAAAGACAAAGGGTTCGCATCCACACAACCTAACGTTAATTGTAATACTGCCATTGAATACATGTCTCATTGACTTTATATTATTTATGAAAGGTGTTTTTTGTCGGTTAAGCCACGTCATCGTTAATTCTCACCAAATCCTAAGATTGAACCACCGATTTCGAAGGTTTAATTCTCCTTCAGGCAGGCCAAATAGTCCAATCACTCCGAAAATTCAGATAAAAAAGTTATGAAAGAAAAGAAACTTTATTTGCGAATAAATTGAATATTACACTTTTCCCTTGGTTGTGTCCATTATTATATAAAAGATTACTAAGTTCTACACAAAAAAAAAAATTATAAAAATCGGAAAATTTTTAACTAAGATACAGCTTATAGAAATTTGTAAACATGTAGATTCCAAACATTAATGAAGTTATAAATTAATTTTTGTTTCATTTGTCGATTATAATTAGCAACAAAGTAACAATTGATTTCTGTGAATTTTCGCATAGGCCTACTAGTAAATATTAAATGCATTCATTTAATAGAGATAAATGTGATTCCTGAAATCCCCTACACACCATAGAAACGCCATGTGCAGGAACATGTCAGATTAATGCCATAGGTAAAAATAATTAAATTACAACATAAAGGAGTTTAATTAATAATTTAAAGATCACAGAATAGAATATCAGCTAGTTCCTCAGGAAGAAATAACTTTAATGATTAAGAAAGGCCTAGAAGTTAAAACATTAAAATTAAGAAAATAAACATATCATTAAGAAGTACAGAATAAATATGAAGTTAAATTATTAACAACATATGGTAATAGTTGATATAGTATATAATATAAATATATATTGATGTAAATATAATAATATAATAGTTGATATAGTAATACTAACTGCAACGATGCAAGAGGGATTCTCGGCTGAAACATTTCCTGAAGACTGTATTGGAGTGGAGTTGACGTGATGGCATTTATTTTCAAATTTTTCCCATCCCTCAAGATTCTTAACAGTTTTGTCATGTCCTAGATACAATAAAGAATCTATACTAAAATGAGAAAAATCTATAAATTTATTTAAATCTAAAATTACTTCAACTGACTAAAGAGACTTCAGTGTAAATGACCCCAAACAAAAAAATATCTAAAATTTAGATGATTTTTAAAGTTATATTTACCTTAGCATCTTCACAAACAAATGCAACCAAATCTTTATTCGAAATGATGTGTTCAAAATATCGAGCATGGTTTGTATCAGGAACATTTACCTATTGATTGATAACAGAGAAAAAGTTATTTAAAAACAATTTCGGAGAGTTTTAAAAATAATAGTTTATATATATTAGGTATAATTTTAATTGATTGATAAACTAATGAACTTCTTCAAAGATGATACAACTGATCTCAATTAGACAATACTTTTAATTTAAAAATCTTACAAATAATTGCACATCACACAACTTTCACTCATCAACATTGGAGTAAATAGGTATTTTCATATAGGTATAAGATAGTCAATGTGAAAACGGTATAACTTCATTTAAAACAATTGATTACAATGTTTTTCCTGCCTATAAGTCTTTATATGTTTGCATCACTTTCCATTTCCTTTTACGTCTGTGTATAGTATCAAACAATATTAATGATTGTGGGAAAAAATGGAATTTTGGAAAAATTCTGAGTTTTATCGGAAACATTTATCACGAAAATCATTGAAAAAATAACTTAATATTAGTAAATATTGTATATCATTAGGTTTATATTAGTAGATCCTCAACATTTTATGTTAAAATCTTTTTAAAAAATTATGAATAAATGATATATAAAATATAAACAATATGAAAGCCATGTACAAAGAATTACCGTTATCTGCGAAGGGAGAGGATCGGCAAAGTTTGGGCGCCCTTGGCGTATAGCTTCCGACCCTTATTTCTCCTTTAGTTACCTTTAATTTTTTTTATTCAAGATATGACAGTTGATAATTTGTTATATCAGTTGATAATGTGAAATGGTTAATTATTTTACATAATAGAAATTAAAGGCTCTTTAGAAGAAGAAATTTTGAGAATTAGGCATTTAAATCCTGTTAGAGAACATCAATGAGAATAAGACCTACATCGTACTAAAATCAAAATCGTTAGAGCTGTTTTCAAGAACAATGTAAAAATGTGTAAAATCAATGATATAAAGTGGCACTTCTGTCCAGCCGATTTTAACGAAAAAGTTGTAACATTCCAGGAATGTACAAACCTTCATACGCAACTTCAGTTGCGTACAAATTTTTATTTTTGAGCTAGACTGTTCATATATAAAAATCATAAAAACACACAGACCATTTTGTGGGACTTGGTTATTTAGACTCAGACCTCAAAATGTTTATTTCCGTTGAAAACTCAGATTTAAAAAATTTCACGATCGCAATAATTTCCCTTTCTATATTTTAGATAAATAGGTAAAAAAAAGTAAAAAAAAAAATATCAATTAAAAATATAAGACTAGATAAAATGCAAAAATTCTTTGAGGACTTTTTGAAGAGACAAAGAAGATCATGTTTTGATTTCATTATATTAGGTCAACAATTTTGTGAAATTCCGACAGGATATCTCCATTCAGCCTCAAGAATTACAAAAGATGATTATGGTTATAAAAGCAAAAGAAACATAAATTGTGATAGTATAAGAGGGAATTATAAATCAATTTCAGGAATACACTTAACAAGTGAAAACACTTATGTTTGAAGGATAAGCTTCAGAAATAGAAGAACATGCCAATTTTTTCCATATCAAAAGGAGAAAACAGTTTCTAAATATACTTTCTGTTGATAACTTGCTTGTTTATTCAGTTTTTACTAAGAGGAAAACTAGAAATAAATAAAGTTTTTGTCAAGAACCAACTTGTTAACAATTATATACATTATATGGATATCAGGACATAAACAAAAAAACAAAAAAAAACACAAAGTTTAAGGCAAGGAGGCCAATGGTCTAGCATAATACCAGATCAAAGATGTTCAATTCAAAGGGATTAAACTTTGAATATTTTATTCAATGATAATTTTATTATCTAGAGAAGCGACAGTTGTGAGAGAAGTTGGAACAAAAACATCACTGATTTCAATAATACTGACTGAATAATTCAATAATGTGTATATTATAGATATTATCACAAGATTTCAGTTACATTCACAATTTCAAGTTAAGAAGTTAATAGAAAGAATAACACATATAAAATAAAAGAATATCATTTCAAAACTCAAAACTGATCACCTCTAAGAAAATAGGAGCATAGACTTTCTTTTCAAACTGGTCTTGATTTTCTAAAACCCATTGATGAGCTTTGGCTACATCTTCGAATCTTGAAGTCAATAATCCTAATTTTTTCTCAGCAACACTATTCAGTTGGTCCAGCTTGTATTGAAGACCTGAGGATATAAATTATAATAAATGTAAAATACAAATATAAAAATACAAATTATAATAATACAAAATTAGAGATAAGTTTAACTCTCTAGTATTAATATGGACCCATTCCATATATATCTATCCTTCCATAACCAACTTTAGAACCATCCGAACCATCCTTAATAACCCTTCGAGGCATCTGACAAGAAGGTGGCCTCGTGATCTTATGTAATTTTATTATTAGATTGCTACCAGTAGGTAGTTTCTCAACATGTGTTTTCATGTTATTATAATCCTGAGTGCACATTTATTAGATATATATATTTTTAATATAGTTGTAAATATCATAATTTTTTTTTTATTATTTCTAAATGATATTTACAACTGTATTAAATAAATACATCAAGTAAATTTGAACATATGGATATAATGACATGAAAACACTTGCTGAGTAACTACCTAATGGTAGCACTCTAATGATATGTCTACATTAGGAGATCACGGGGCCATCTTCTTTTCAGACGCCTCGGAGGGTTATCAGGAATTGAAGAGGAAGCAAGGTTAGAAATGAGAGGGTTGGGACAATTCTGAAGTTTATTATGGAAGGACAGGTATCTGGATTGGGCCAGATCTAAAACAAAAGAAATATTAAGGTCGTTATGGATGGTTTTATTTGTAACAAAGTAGAGAGCATTGAGGATTTTACGAAGGATTTTGGATTGTAAGAATTGGATACGAGAGGAATTCGATGGTTTAGAGGAGCCCCATAGCTCAACTCAGTCCAAATAGGCCCGTAAATATCAAGTCCAAATAGACCTTATTATAATCATGTATATGAGTCTTTTTTAATTAATTGGAAGTTTAAAGCGTTTGTCTAGTAAGTGCTGAAGTAATCGGAAACGTCAAGCGGTTTCCGCAACAGTCTTGTATGAATATCACGAATATATTAAAAATAGATATATTAATATGAAATGGATAATATGGCACTTGCAAGGAAAAAATCCAATTTAGATTGAAACAGAATTCATATTCATAAAAAAAACATGTTTATATTTACTTAATAATTTGAAATAACAGTGTGTCAGGGAAGAGTGAACGTTGAGGACATGTACTCCTGATGTGCATTAAGGGCATTTAATTTAATAATTGCACTATATTTAGAGATCAAATTGTTTTAAAACACACAGGAGCTCAACGAATAATTGAGTCAACAAACATGAAAATCAGTTGTCGACAACATAAAAAACCATGTAGATATCATCCCTTGCATTCTCTGAATATGGCACTAAATCAAATAATCAGCAGTATCATATCGTATAATAAAAATACATTACATAGGCCATACCAGAAATACCCAAGCAACAGGCCAATAAAATAAAATGAATAAACATATATGAATGAAAGATGTATTAGAAAGATTTTTATTATAATTACTAAAAATTTTATCCTGCCATTAGAAACCTTGGGATAACCTTTGATCAAACATAATCCTGGAAAACCTGGTATCTAATATCTCATAATATTGTACATAGGTGTGAATGTGTTTTATTTACTTTAATTTCATTTAGCTTTTATCTATTATTTCATTTCTTTTTTTTTTTGTACACAGGCATATCAATTTACTTATTTTATTTTTTGTATATTTCTTTTTCTTTATTATTGAAATCTTAGTTATTATTTGTATGTACATATCGTGTGAATGAATCATGTAGCCTTAATATTAATGCCCTTTAATGTGGCAGAATGTATTAATATTCAATAAAGAAAGTAAGAAAAAAAAAAAATCTCACAACATTGCTTTTCTACCTTAACACATCTAAATTATCTCTGCCACCTTTTTCTGCAGGCTTCTGGGTACTTCTTTAATATTCCCCATTTTGACTATTATTTTATGGTATATGGAGGCATCCTTTGGAATCTCGAGGTAAAACTCAAATGTTTGATAAACTGCTCTGTACGATTTATCTTTGGGATTCTGAAGGACGTCTCTGTCTTCCATTTTTAAGAAGAGTTAAAGTAGCTTGGGAGGGGGAAAGGTTTACGCCAAGGAGATGGATTGGCATGCCTGCTGTTCATACTGGCACAGGAGAAGGCGATTCGAGATTAGGAATACAGACCTCGGGAACCATTGCTCATTGAAACGTACAGCTATTGGCCTTCGTGGACGATGCAGACATAGTGGCAAGATCAACAAAAGCTATGGAGGACTACTTTCTTGCTCTTCAGTCGGTAGCGCTGAATATTGGACAAGAAATAAACGAGAACAAAACCAAATATATGCTGGTGAATGGTGAGAATAACTTAGTGAACACTCCAGCTCTCACAATAGGAAATTTCTCCTTTAAAAGGGTCCTAAATTTTGTGTATCTGGGAATGCTTGTCACCTCTTCAAACAATGTGCCCCTCGAAATCAATAGGCAGATTACGGCAGCCAACCGATGGTATTTTGGGATTACAAGGTAGATGAAGAGCCACCTGCTCACCAGAGAAATCAAGGTACATCTACAAGGTACCTTGTACAAGGTACAGCTATACAAGACTCTGATAAGACCGGTTCTTACTTATGCTTCACAAACCTGGACACTAATTAAAGCAGATGCGAAAGGTATCCTAATTTTTGAGAGAAAAATACTGAGAATATATGGCGCTGTTAGAGAAGGTGAAGCATGGAGAAGAAGGAGGAACCATGAATTCTAAAGCTTGTATGGAGACATTGATGTAGTACAGTTCATCAAGGTAAGCAGGCTCAGTTGGGTATGACATGTGGCACGCATGACTGAAGAGAGGATACCCAGAAAAGTTATGGAGGGGGTTATGGACTGAATAAGGAGAAGAGGAAGACCCAGGTTGAGATGGATTGACAGTGTGGCCGCAGACTAGAGAACAATAATTCACCAACAGAACTGGAAGACGGCGGCGAGAGACCGATCTGGATGGTGGAAACTCTTAAAGGAGACCAAGACCCACTTCGGGTTGTAGAAGCCATCGAAGTAAGTAAAGTGGCTTTATCCTTCTTCTTCTTGGTCATTCATTTCTACCGTCCCTCATACACTTCCAAGCTCCTTCAATTCAAATCCTTTGTTCACTCCAGCAAATCTCAGTCTTCAGATTTATATACAACGGCTTACCGAACCGCAGCTTTCGACAGATCTTTCATTATTCGATCCTCGTACCCATGGAATTCCATTCTCGCCTTCATCCATCACTCCAAAACCTAACCACCTTAAAATCCTGCCTATTCAGTCACTTCATATCCATCCTGTTCCAAAACCAATAGTAAATAAGTAAGAATTGTAAATAGCTTTTTCTATAAATATGTATATAAATTATTAGTTTGTTTTTTAAATATATATACCTTTCATAATTCATTAATGTTAGCAGTTAACTTATATTTTTTTATATTTCTATTTGTTTTTTTATTTTTATAAAACTCTGAGACTCTAAAGCTCACAATTTTAGTATTATGCATTATTCTAAATGGGCTTGTTCCAGAATAAATAAATTATTATCATTAAAAATACATAAACCACAATGATACAATAATATACCTCTTACAATATTGTTTACAGCAGACGACTGGTCTTGTAATTCTCTTTCTTGATTTCTGGCTTGAGAAACTTTCTTCAACATAAGATCAATTTCTAAATCACATTTTCTTATATCATGAAGAAGTGTGGCCTCTGAAATAAGGTTATTTTTATATTTTTTAAAGCAAATTAAAAAAAATATATATATGGAACTTTTCTAAAAGCAGTTTAAATCTTTCTATCTAATTAAATTCTGTAACATTATACCATTGACTTGCGGTAAACTATTTTCAATCTCTCTTATTTGTTTCTGAATCTCTTGAATGGTCATATCTTTTTGAGCTTCTGCATCCAGTTTAGATTTTAAGTCATCTTTTATTTTGACTATCTTGTCTTTAAATCGAAGATGGTTACGAAGCAATTCTTGCAGGCTTTGACTAATCCTATTGTTATTCTGTTCCTGAAAATCAACAGTTAAAAGTTAGAAAAGATAATACTTAAGGAAAACATAGAAATGAAATTTTAATATACTTTGTTAAATCCTGTATCAAGTTTGATGAACAAGACAGTATGTATAACACTTCTCTTTCTATATTTTTAACTTCTACTAATAGCAACATAAACTAAATATTTTCAACATGAGTATAGGGTTGGTATATTGCAAAATATCACTAGGTGCATTTTTGATGATGTTAAAGTTTTAAGGATATTTTTGTGAATTTTAACCTTAATACATAAAAAGAAGACTTTGCTTTAGTATGTATAGAAGAGTCCAATTCCAGAAAATGTTTTTAGCATTTTTCCCACTCTTTGAAATTTCCTCTAATATGATAAAAAGTATGTTAAATATTAATTTACAAAAAAAAATAGAAATGTGCATAATATATGCCTTCCTTTTAAAACTCAATACACAGTAATCAAATTTTAGTCAAATATGCAATCGTATACCAATCCAGACCCCTTTGTTAAAGTAAACATTAATGCTGTAAGTCTATTGGATATTTTTTTTTAAAAGTTTTACCTCATTTTTTGAATTCTTCTTCAAGTTTTCTCGTTCTGCCTCAACCTCTTTAATCTTTTTCAAAAGCGGCTCCAAACTTTTCTTTAAAGCTTCATATTGCTGTTTTGCCGTTTCGTAAGTTACTTGCATCTAAATGAAATATGAGTTATTTCTCTTAGAAAAGATAATTTGGTGAAAATGTGTAATAGTAAACATAATTAATGCGCTACTTCAAAGTTTATTTATTTGAGAAAATTTCTAGTTCTTTAATATTATTTAAAGCAAACTTTTTATAAATAATAATTTATAATTTACAAAAAAATAAATATATATTTACTTTATTTAGAGGGAAAAAAACAACATATAAATGGGTTTTTATAATTGGACATGCATAGGCAAACTATCACTTAGATTACTAGATGCGCTACTGATATACCTTTTTTCTTAATTCATTTTTCTCTTCATACAGAAGCCACTGAAGTTTTTTCTTAATCAATGTTATCTTTTCCAAAATATCCTGTTTCTCTTTGTAACTTTTAACATCTGCTTCCATTCTGATGATCCAAGAAAATAATCATTAAAAATTGATAAAAGCACAAAAACAGAGAGGGAATAAATACTACTTGATTAAATTAAGTAAAACAGATAAACAATCAAAAAACTTATATTGTTCAATTTTTGCATTACACATTCAGTTAACCCACACTATATATGTAACAAATTCACGAAAAACATAAACTAAAATAAATAAATACATATAAAAAACTAATCAGATATCATTAATAATTATTACGTTATAATTTATGAATAAAGGAACAAACTGAAATAATAATTTATTTAAGATTTTTAATTATTTCAGCATAGGTGTCATAACAAATAAATAAGTTGTTATTAATTACTCCTTGGATTGTATAAACTACCAAAAATTTTTATAAACTATATTATATCACAATAATTTAATTATGAACTAAACCACATTATGGTCATATACATATTGAAGGAGATCGAAATCAATAATCATAAAACCATAGATAAAAACACACCTTTTACTTTTCTGCTTTTCATTGTCAAATTTTATTAACAAATCAGCAAGCATTTCTTCCCTCTTAATAATAGATGTCCGAATGGATTTCAGTTCTTCAAACTGCTCACTCAATTCCTGATCTTTAAACAAAATAATATAATTAAGAGCATTATGATATAGAATTAATCCAATATTTAATTATTGACATATAATAATTTAAATTCAATCAAATTTTAACCTCATCAATGTTTAATAAATTCACTTATTGTTGAATTTCATCAATATTACTCAATTATTTTTTTGATCGATTTTAAATTTAAACTATATAGTTATTAAAACTAAAAATAGTTTTCTATGTAATGTAAACAAATAACAAACCAATGGCTTTCTGAGTATTTTCTAACAACTGTTTCTGGTCCATTTTGGCGAAGTCCTGGACACGATCTTGTGGTAATATTTGACAAAGGTTGTTTATCTGAATGTTTAATTCTTGTGTTAAAGTCTCAATCTAAAAATTAAAAATTAACAATATTGATAAAAATATTATAAAAGTAAGTAGAGAAATAAAAAATAATAAGTGCTAAGAAACAACTCCATATCACAAAAAAGGAAGAAATGGGGAACTATCTTCAGGTCTTTCTATACATGAGTTTTGTGTATTAATACAAAATAATATATAGCTACTTAAGCAGAAAACTAATATTACTAACGTTTTACCATCACATAATATTAAGTTTTGAGATGGGTCAGTCCTCTTCCAATTAAGCGGTATGATAATTAGGCAAATGGAAGCAATTCTATTAAGTTAAGCTCTGAATTAAAATAATTCACAAAGTTCATATAAATAACATACTTTTACTCCTCAACACTCTCATTCAATTATAAACATTAATTCTAGTCATTGTACAAACCAAAATTTTATTAATTTCTACTTTGCAGCAAAGTCTATAAATCTAAGGCTAAAGCAGAATATGTGAAATAACATATTAATAAAACGTAGTTGATAAAATCATTTTAAGTTTTTATGAAAGGAAATTACTAAATGAAGATTACAGTTATTGCATCCTAAAAAAACAAACAATTTTTAAAGGAATTCTTGAGTCAAAATTGAATATGTATGTTAATTTGAAGGAAAAATTACTGGAGGTAATATAATAAAGAACAGCAATTCGTCATTCACTTAATAAAATAATTGTATCTAATAATGGAAAAATGACATGAAATTAAGATATTAATAACAAAACACAAGATTGACAAGCAAATGCATCAGTTTTGTTTTACAAAATAACTTACCTTTTTCAAAGTTGTAGGTTTTCCTTGTAAGAACCATGATGAGGAATTAGATGTAATATGTCTTGATATAACAAAGTTAGCACCATCAGGATTATAAAGCTCTAAATCGATAACAGCTTTTTCACAACCATGTTTAATATAGTCCGCAACCTATAGCATTAACAAAACATAATGTAATACACTAGACACCTTTAGTATTTAAGAAACCAAAATAGATAAAAAAGAGTATCTTACATTGGGTGATCTACCAATGACATTAGGTTTTCCTCCTAGCCCCAACACTATTGCACAAACAAATGTAGATTTTCCTGCACCATTAGGTCCAATCACAAGATTTAACTTATTTTTTGGAGACATTTCAATCTCATCGAAGGTCCTAAAAATCAAACAAGTAGTTAGAAAAACAACAGAAATTTAAAATAATATCTAATTTATTTATGACACTTACAAAAAATCCTTCAAATGGATTCGAACAATACTTCCTCTACTGAACTTCATCTTGGTGTAATACTGAAAAAAATGTCTGAAAAATCCATGATTAGGACTATCACACATAATTGTTAGAAGGATGCTTGTTCTTATCACTACGATATTCTTATCAAACTTGGCGGGAATCTAATTTCATATTATCAGTGTTGTACTCACTTGTTGATAGTCACAAGCCACCAGGATTATGTTTAGAATTTCTCTTAAAGGAGTAATGTCATATTATGTTTTGTACGAATTATTTTATGGTATATCGTAATCAATCAGCCTAAAACGAAATCACACATTACTTAAACTGTTTTTCAAATATTTATATAATAATGAAACATTAATATCAGCGGCGAAGTACAGAAACTCAACGCAAAATCTTAAAAATGTCCACTTCACTTGACTGAGAGAGGGGATTTTCTTAGAAAAAAAGTTATTTACATTTTTCAAATTCTATTACATTATTAGTGAATGTTATACCAGTTAATGTTTACTATTTTTCAAGTCATTCTTATAAGCACATCTCCAGAAAAGTAAGAAAAAATGTTGGGAAGAAAACTACAGTTTATTAACGCATAACTCAAATAGTATACAATCTATGGTTGGTTAAAACAGGAGAGAGGGGAGCTTTCGGGCTGAAGGTCCTCCCCCCCAAAAAATGGTGAAATATAAGCATGTTTTATGAACAAAATTATCTCTAAAATTATTATTGTTGGCCTAATTCCATTTAATAGGACTCAAATAATCACTTAAACACCATTTAATATAGATACTTAGTTTCTTTCTTTCTTCCGAAGTAATTATCGTAATATGTACCTACAAAAAAGAAATCTTTAGGGCCGAAGCCCCCAAAATTAAATCCTGAATCCGTTAGTGTCCAAGATAACTAGAAAGGTTTACAAATCAAACAAACAGTAGCGGATCTAAGATATCATTTTAAGGGAGTTTATTTATTTATTTTTTTTTTTTAATGGCAACTACTTTGTAAGAAAAAGAAAAAAGGAAAGTACCTCTATGAAACGGTGTTTAAGTGAAAGATAAAAAAGGGAAAAAATGGTAGTATAAGAACAATAATATTTTAGAGACAAATTTCTTAATTTTTTTTTAATACTTACTAGCTGTATATGAATTGTAATTTGACTTATTAACGACAATGAGGGGGAAGAATGGGTGTCCTTCAGGACGATATACTTCTTCCGTCGCCGAGGGCAAGGGAGCATCATGAATCAGAAACAAAAATATAAAGAATACAAAATACTTTTAAAAAGGCCTATTTCTGTCGGCTTTGTATTTTTTATTCATCCCTTTTCATCTTTGATTAGACTTCATACAAGAAGAAATAATTATTTCTAACCTCAGTTCCACTTTCTGTAGTTAGATAAATTACAAACTGACTAGACATTTATTGGCCGTGAATGGAAATGCAAATGAATATCTAAGTACAATAAATATAACCCTTAAACATGAGAAAATATAAACTACTTGGGCCTCTTCGAGGGATGTGAGAGAGCCCACTGATATAATTTCGCCCCGGGCGCCAAAAATCCACGCGACGGCTCTGCTTTTCAAAAATGTCCATAATATCCAATCACAGAAAAATTACTTAATGCCTCATTGAAAGACCGCAAGATAGTTTGAAAGTAGAATTGATCACTTGATCACGTCGTTCAACGAGAAAGATCCCTACAGGCTCATATATGAGTCCTTCAGGGACGGAGTAGCCGAGCGGGCTAATGGGTGTATAGCATTGCTGTTGCCCAGTAACCCCGATGAAATATAATTTTATAAAATAATTACGAGTTCGCATTGAGGCTTTTAAATATTGCATTAATCCCCCGCCCTCAGCCCCTGGCTTGGGATAACCCCGTGTAGCCTAAAAGGCGTGGTAGGGGAAGACAAAAAAAAAAAAAAATATATATATATATATATATATATGAGTTTTCGTCGTTAAAGGATTAAAAATGTAATATTGTCACTGTCTAAATATATAGCTCAGTTTACTCAATTAAACAAATATGACCAAATGAAAAAAAAATCCATTATGGATGGGAGGAGATACTGCAGCCCGAAAGCCCTATTCCTCCGTACATTCGCCAGTGTTACAAAATCAAAATCATCGAATCGGACTGTTTATAACCAGTTGTAATTCCTTCCTTTCAAAATCGACATTACATTTACTTATTTCCATTTTGCAATGTCATTTGTTCACTAGTTAACCATTACATTATGCGTATTATTGGCACAGGCCAACTACATTATATTAATTTATTCTGTTATTAATTTATTTAGGCGTAAATAACACCTGCCAAAAAATGATCCAACTTCCCATCAAGCAGCTGTTAAACTGGGTCCTCATCGTTCATTTCTTGTCTCTTCTGGACTACATAACCTCTGTTGTATGAGTTACTCGTAATTAATATTAAAACATATTAATTAAAATACTGTTATAAAACTGCCTTCATTATTAAAGGTTTATTATCAATATAGGGACGACAAAATTAAAATAAATCCTAGATCCAGCCCAGTCGTTGACTTTACTTGGAAGGAAAGCACGAATATTCGGTTTTTTTTTTTCATTTTTGAATGAAATAAAATAGTTTAGTCGCATTCATAAATTAGGATTGAGAATAATCGACAACATATGGAACATTAATATCGTGGATGATTTGATTTACGACAAAAGGAGCGTTAAGAATATTAGGAAGTATTTTGAATTGGATACGAGTGGAATTCGATGGTTTAGTGAAACCCCAAAGCTCAACTCTGTAAGTTCAAGTCAGCCTTATTGTATTAATGTAAATGTGCCTTTTGCAATTGATTATTAGCTTATAGCATTGCTGCAGTAAGTGCTGAAGTAGCCGAAAACATGGAATTGTTTCTTATCTTTTCAGTCTTGTATGAGGATCCCAAGTAAGATATCTGTCCAGTTTTTGTCTCTATTTACTACCGCATGATATATTTTTAGTGTCTTGTCTCTAAGAAAGTAAAGTGTTGCAATCTGGTCGTATTTTCAATTTACATTTTTCGACGGATCTATGCTTCTGGACATCGATACATGCATATGGAATATGCAATAACATTTAAGACGCTTATTTGAAAGATAATCTTACATTTGAAAGCATTGTATTGTATATAGCAAAAACTTAGATAAAAAATAATTCTAAAGCAGTCTAATACATACCAGCAGCTCCAGATGCAGCCGTCGTAGAGAAGAGGTCGTTCTCATGCGGCTGAGGATCGGACACACCTCCACCTCATAACAAAAGATCTTATCCCCAGATGTCAAAAGTGTGACCAGTCATTAACCATAAAATATGTTTTAGAAGAGTGCCCTTTTTAGAATATAACAGCATCCCTGGGAAATTAAGAAGAAATCGTTACCAAAGTTATCAAGTTCCTAGATAATGAAAAACTTAAACAATGTATATGACAAGTTCATAACTAATGATCCTTTGCAGATTTATTATTTTTTATGTTATTTTAAAAGTTCATTTGTTTATTAATTTAAATTCATTTATTGCTATTTCCTTTAAATTTTACTAATTTATCTATTCTATCTTATTATGTATAAGTGTCTATTTTTATTTATTTATTTTATTCTATCAATCCTTTTATTAATTTTCTTTTTCCTTATTTTTTATACCAATCACCTGAACAGTACAAAAGTAGTGTTATTTAGTTGATCGGGCACTGATGACCTGGATGTTTTGCGTCTGAAATATGTCTGGTATGTTTGTTTGGATGTCAAGACCAGCAAAGATACTGCAATATTGGACATTCATACTGTGAGTGGACATATCATATATTTTAGATATGCCATTGCAGGGAAATAATAAAGCATTGCATACTAATATGTATTTTTTTAAAAGTTTGATGATTGGAGAAAGAAGGTAAATCAGAAGAGGCATAATCAAGGTTCTATTTCTTAAGCAATACATTTCCAGATCCCACTGCACATATACATACATAACAAAATATATAGATTTATCAGGCTTGAAATACGCTATCTTTTTATTTTTATCTCCTTTCCCTTTCTTGTATTTTCGACAATACGGTATTTTTTTTTTTTTTTATACAACAATAAATTTTACTCTTTTCTTGTTATATTTTTATCTTGGAGTCATCCCAGATAGAGACTGAAAGTCTTCTTCTTACTCCAATATTGAAATGGGCTACGACTATTTGTTCCTTCGACCCATACACGAATGCCTCGATGGATAGTTATCTTCAGCGACGAGAGGAGACAAATCCACTTCGTTGATACTTGTGCTCCTCATTAGCTTGGCCCTCAGTGCCTCAAACGCAGTGCAGTTGCTGATCACATGCTCGGCAGTTTCCGGGATACCATAACTGGACCATAGGTGATCGATGTCTTCTCCAAGACTGTGTAACATGGCACGAAAACCTCCATGTCCAGTGAGGAATTGAGAGACCCAATAGTATGGTTTAATCCATCTGGCTGCTAGTGGGGAAAATGCTTCCTTAAGGTAGCCCACTTTGTGGTAGTGATCCACCGCCTGTTCCACTCTTCGACGGTAGCTTTTCTCAGTATTGATTTCCATCTATTGGGCCGTTCCTCAAACTTCAATCGAAGGTCCTCCGGAATCCCTGCCAAGCCTTCTTTTCTGTAGGAATATACATGAAATACACTATCTGCTAAGTATTTTAGCAATAATCAAATGTGTAATAATTTTTGGGCAGGGGATAATTTAAAAAATTTGTTCACCATCGCCAAAAAAGTCGTGAGATGTACAGATTTTGAGGAGCTGTGAGCTGTACACATATGAGTTCACTCATGATAAGATTGTATAGTACTGTGGTGGAAGTTTTTACAGTATTCTGTAGCAGTCTATGATACCATTTGGATGTCCAAGTTCTTTGTCAAATGAAACGGTGCGTACGCAAATTTTTTTATAGGAAAGAATTAATATTGAAGATGTTAAAGGTTATTGCAGCGCCCCATAGCGATATGCCTTTAAAGATTTTATAGATAATTTGGAACGCGTATCAAATTACCTGGGTGATGGTCCAAATGGTTAGTTCAGATGTTTTCTTAACAATTTAAGGGTTCTCAGGGTTAATCTCTTGTATAGCTATAGCCATAAGCAACGCACTTCTTCAAATATAGTTATTAAAGTATAGATGTGGGTATGAACTAAGATTTATAGTTGAGAAAA